TACACTGCCCCTCCAACCAGTCCTGGTTGACTATAAAAAGAGTTAGGATTTGAGTTAGACCCACATTCTGTTTTGTGTGTGTGTTTGTGTGCGTAAGGGAGAAAATGGAATCTCACCTCTGGAGAGAAAAGTGATCGTATCTCCTTCTTTAAAGTTTAGATCTTCTGGGTTTGAGGACTCATAGGTGTGAAGAGCCACCAGATGAGTCTCACTCTGTGGATTTTCATCTTTTTGCTAAATAAAAAAACAAACAAACTGACTTTTATTTTTTCATTAAAGCTTCTCAATGACTTGGGGAACAAGCAAACCTTTATTTTCCTGCATTATGAAAAGTTTTAAACCAAACCAGGTCTTTAGTCTGGACACTTGTCATCGAAAACTGGATCAAATTAAAACAAAATTGTATAATATACTGAGTTGTGCACTTTGAAAACATTTTTTTTTTAAGAGATCTTCATGTGTTGCATTCAGGTGCAGGACTGCTGTTACTCAGCAGGAAATGTGGGACGCCATTTGGGTTTAAAAGTCTTTCGTGTGTCGAAACATAAGTCTCACTCAAATGGGAAAAATAGCCTAAAAAACAAGTCGAGAGTTTGAACTATTTAACCAGCAGCCTGAACAGAAAAAAGAAAACACTGGTTTACCTCTCTGGTGCTACACCACAGGGTGAGGCGGCCTTCACTGACCAGGCTCCACACATCCTCCATCTGAGTGGTGGCATCAATGACACGTTGCCCACTTGGATCTAAGCTGTAACCAAACAAAACCATCAACTCTTCTTTTCTTTTTTTACTGGAGCAGAACGGAACAGTAACCACCACGAGTGAGTCGGTACCTCAGAGTTATTGCTGCAGAAGGCAGCTCCAGCTTCTCTCCTATTTTTTCGACCAGCAGCTCGTAGGAAGCCCCGCGTGGCACGGAGACCATGAAGGTGAAAGTGAAACGGACTTTGACGACAACTGTCTGGTCTCCCGGCTGGGCCTCCTGGGAATAGATGCACATGATATTGGAGTTAAATCCCAGAAATGAGAAGCATGTATGTGTAGGTTTGTACAACAGGGGGGGTCACTCTCGGTATACCTCCTGCTTTGAGTTTCCTGTGCCGTTCTCACCAGGAGTAAGACCTCACGGGCGAAATGAGAAGAGTGGCTTTGTTAACGTTTGCGATTTGGAAACATTCATTTATGCTACTGGAACCATGTCGGGTCACCTACCTTGAATCCTCTCGGGTCTCGTCGGGGGTTCTCTACTTGGAGGCTCAGTCAAACCCTGTTAACGGTTGTTCCCAATTATTTTTTTTAGAGAGCCTTGAAGTACACTTATAAGTTTACAGACTGTTTAAGATGAGCGGATTGAGTGAATGGCTCCAGTTAAAGTTGCAATAAACTCACATTTTAAAAGGATGTGGGGAAAACTCATATATAACTGTATCGTATGCAGATTGATCATAACTTTATGACGGTTACGCAAAGTAAAATCTAAAGAAGTAAAACTTGTTTGATTTTTGAAATGTTCATCTACAGACATCTTGGTGCCAGACACCACCGAAAGTACTCAGCTTATCAGTGTGATGTCATATTTTCCAAGAACAATTCCCTACCTTATTCCGTTGAGAAGCCAAACTGATTTCCAGACGTTCCAGGTAATTGTAGGGAACAAGGCCCTTCTGGAATTGACATAATGATGATTAATATCACATGACAGCGGCTTGACTTGGATTACAATACAAAGAGTCACATGTTCAAGTAGATTTTTTTCTATCTGTCAATCTATTCTCGAAGGGAAAAAAGATAGAAAGTTAACGGTAAAAAAAGCACTCTATAAAAAGAAAAAAGTTCAGATTTTATATCCAGAGCTGTCTCACTCTTTCGTTGAAGACCACGTAGGCCCAATTGTCGGCTCCCTTCTGCAGCACAAACACGATGTTCCCCGGCACCACGGCGAGCTCGTCGCTGGTCTCAGGAACAAACTCAAACAGCACGGTGTGGGGTTCTCCTTCCAAAGCTCTGAGAGGAGCACATGGCACCATGAGACCTGCAGCACTATTGATCTGCTTTACACACACTTTCTCATCGAAACCCGCAATTTCATAGATAAAAATAATTGAACTACAACAGGTGGGGCTGTCACTGTTTAATCCAACCAGTATTGAATCTAATTAACAGTTAATATTTAGGGGGGAAATAACCTTATATATGTATAATACAGTGCTATTCATCCATGTAACCAGGATTATGATGTTCACCCACAAAGTGATGAGCATACCTCAGAACCTCAGGTTCTCTTGGAGAAGCCGGACCGTCCACTATCTGTCAGATGTGAATAAAAACACAAAGCATCCAGTCAGATGTTGAAATGGCATATTTAGGATGTATATTTTAAAAAAGAATTCTAAGTTTGAGTATGAAAAAATATGAAAGAAAGTTTTCTTAATAAACTTAACTATATTTAATCAGTTGGTTTTGACAGCACAATTTAGTTTAAACCTTTCTAAAAAACATTTTAATGTTTTTTACAATTAATACATTTGTACCACACTGTATTATTTCTGAAAAAATAACAAAAAATTTGTTAAAAAAAATATATATATACATTTTAATGTAACCCATTGAGGCTGTAACGTATATATTTTTTCATTTATTTGAGTACTTGTTGAGTACTTGTGCCCTCTGTGAAACCATGTGTCACCTGTGGCTGTAGTGGAGCAAATCCAGAGAACTCGTCTTGTGGAATAACAGACGCAACAACCTGATCGTAACACACACACAAACACACACATTGACACAGGTAAATGATTGATTACAGTGTCATCCACAGGGATCTTCAAAATAAAAAGTGCCAGTGCCTTAGCGTTCGGTTTTACCTTGGCTTTGCCCAGATAATCCTTCTTCTCCAGCTCAGCCACGTAGTGCTTGTTCGGTTTAAATAGCATTTTCGATGGGAACTCAACTGGTTTGAAATGTTTCTGTTTCTGTCAGTGAAATGGCATCGTTAAGGGTATTGACATGTTCAGTGATTCAAGTCTCAAAAGAAATGTTCTACTCCTAACTAAACCTTTCAGCTGAATTAACAATTAATATTTAGGGGGGAAATAACCTCATATATGTATAATACAGTGCTATTCATCCATGTAACCAAATTAATGTTGTATTAATGAATACCTTTGCCAATAACGGCCTTCTGTTTCAGTGTCTACTCAAGAATGGATGTAAGCCACCAATGACCAAGGTTTAAGGATTTTGAACTGAATGTAGATTACCTATCACTATGAATGGTGTCCCATTTTAATGTAATGAAGAACTGACTGGAACTTATTAGGTAAGTAAAGGCACAAAGTTGAAACCAGCACACAATAACTCACCAGGATGGACTGCAGAGCTCGATCAATGACACTGAACTTGGCCTCTGTTTTGTAGTCCAAGGCCTTCAGCAGGTTTTCCTGGGCTTTTTGCCAGTCCCCCAGCTGGGCCTCAGCGAGGGCCATATTGTGGAGAACCTTCGACAGGGAAACATTTGCACTGAACTGGGAGCTCATCCATATTCTTATGCACAATATATTTAAAACCCTTCATGCAAAACAGGCCTGGAACCTTTGTTGTCACAGGATTAGTTTTTTCAATCTACCTAAGAGGGACATATTGTACTGCTGTGGGGGGACATATGCTGTTAAAATTCCTTTAAAGAACTGTTTAAAAGCCTTTTCTGTGGCTTAATGGAAGCAAGACCTATGAGAAGTACTTACCTCACATGCATACAATATGTATCTGAGGCCCAGGGCTTTGTAATCGATCAACTGGTTGCCCCTCAGTGCTCTGAGTGTTCTCTGGAAGTCAGCCAGGCTCTCCTCATACCTTTGAACAGGGGTAATGAATTCAATTTATTTTGCTTCTCAGAATAAGTCTAAATGAATAAGTAGGCATGTGCCTTGCCTCTTCTTTTTGTAAAAGGTAATTCCTCTTTGAAAGAAGGCGATGGCCAAATGCTCGTCCTTACGTATGCTGCAATCAAACGCCTGAGAAACAGCAGAGAAACACAGCAACTTCCTCTGTAAGACCTGAAAAAAGGTGAATCCTACTTCTTCTTTCACAGTGACTTGCACTTTCAGACACAGTGTTATGGCCAAGTTCCATCCCAGCCTGAACGGCTGCATTCACAGTGTTTTACGTCACAATGCTCGCAGATAAAGGGCAAAACCAGTTGATATTCTTTTGATATATTCTTGTTTGACCTTCCAGTTCAGACGTACCTTTTCGGCCGCATCCAACTCTTGGTTAAGCAGATGGAGGCAGCCAATGTCAAAGCATATCTTGGAGTTTGGCTCTTGAATGGAGAGGAAAATGCTGAGCGCTCTGGTGTAATCCCCACCGTCAGCACAGGTGACGGCCTCATCCCACTGCCGCAGAGTGTCTACAAACGACATATTTGCTGGCCGGCCGTACACTGTGACCAAATCAAGGAAGCTGATCTGATTTGTACCAGCGAAATCAGGAAGTGTGATAACCAACCAGTGTTGAACAAGAAACCACAACTTAACAGATTGAAGATGCCCTGTAACTGTCCTCTTCCCCATCATGAGCTGGCTTTTGCAAGCTATTCATTATTAGTGTGTTCTGTTGTAGGAGAAATAAACTTCCTTTCAACGTTAAGGCCGCTTTGCATATCACATAAATCTCATAAAACTACCTAGATAAACAAAAAGCCTATTTTAATAAGTGATGCTGCATGTTGAGTGACATAAAATTGTCAAGTGTTTTGAGGTATTTCCGGAACTGTTTTTTTAATGCACGATTAATGTGACTACACCGTGTCATTTTGTTTCTAAAGATGTATTGGTTCTGCTTTTTTGCCTCAGAAATTAGAAGTTGTGCCAAACTTTATAGTACAAAAGTCTGACTTCCGGTGTAAACTTTTCAAAGTACACTAATTGTGAATAGACTGTGGCTTTAAAGTAAAAAACACTTTGCAGTTTGGTACAAAATATGGAAAGACAAATCTTCCTCCATATTTTACCAACTCTCTTACTGAAAGTAAGGTTTTTTTTCCTTGTTAACATAGGCAAATGCTCTTAGTTTTAAAGAACAAAAGTGTCCTTCTGATACATCCGTTAAATTGATGCAGCCTTCGCTAGCTAAACAAACATGGCTCTGCTATTGTATCGAACAACGGAACTTTTTAATACGTAGGCAAATGAATAAGGGAATATGTAACGAATTATAAGAAGCGCTTCGTGTATGATATGACGCTGATAAAGTGTAGTTGCACAATTTCGTTAGTTAGCTCAAAGTAGCCTTTCGTGGCTGTGTTTACACATAGTTAGCTCCATAGTTGGCTAATTCAAGCTAGCAAGATGGACCTTGGAACAATGTTGTACAATAATTTAAAAGATGTGACCTGGAGCACGACGTCCTTACCATTAGATCGGCTTGTCAGCGCATATAAATTGCCGCAAATTGTCAAGCTGGATAACGGTGAGTGATTTCGTGAAATCTACTGACTTTTCGAGTTATCACCCGAGTGCCTGCAAGTTGTACATTAGCATTTTTGTAAGATCCAAACATTCCAAGATCAGTGGTTGGGATCTGCACATATCTGGCAAAACGATACACCTTATGCTATATTATATTCACATAATGAATGCAAAAACGTCTGTGCAAAACAGGTTGTAATTAATCTCTTTTGCTTACTGTTCTATTCGAGTGACAATTTAAGTTGTTCAAAGACATCTGATATCTTTTAACGCAAATAATTGAAATGGAGAACGGGTTTGGTTTTATAGCTTGTAAAATGAAATAAACTAAACAAGCTGCTAAGAATGGGATTATTAAAGTACTTCTGATTCTGATCACAAACAAAAATGCAGGTGACAGTTGTAGAGGGTTTAGAGGTCTCTAAACAGCTGTTTTGGACCCCATTTGTTACCAGACTTGCAGAGCTTCCTTTTCTGTATTGCCATATTTTTGGATTTTATATTGTTCCTGAATAGACTGTAAAGCTTATAAGTCTTAAAATGTAATTGTACTGTCCTTTATTTGATTTCGAGCCTGACCCAGAGTCAGTTTGCTGCATTACCAGTCAGTGACCTGGGTGTCATGTTGTTATTAGTTGCTTCCTTTATAATTTGATATTACAACTGAAAGGTTTGGTTTGTTGTGTGAATGTTTTTTTATCTGGTTGACACAGGTCAGTTGGTTGAAGGGCTCAGAGACAACGACTACCTCTTGATTCATTCCTGCCGTCAGTGGACAACCATTACAGCTCACAGCCTCGAGGAGGGACACTATGTGATTGGGCCCAAAATAGAGATCCCAGTTCATTATGAAGGTAATCTACATGTTGTTACCGCTTTGTGTTATATTGTGATTATATTTAGCTTTAGTCTGTGCCCTCATATAGTTGTTTTTAATTACAGCAAGAACACCAGGTAACAGATAAGACTACTAAACTCTTAGTATGAGGTGGCTGCTGATAACTGGCATTGGGAGTGGACTTTTTGCCTACGCTCACGTGCCTTTTTTCCAAAAATGAAGGTCAGTTCAAGCTGCTGGAGCAGGACCGAGACGTCAAAGAGCCTGTACAGTACTATAACAGCGTAGAGGAGGTGGCCAAAGCATTCCCTGAACGGGTTTACGTCATGGAGGAAATCACCTTTAACGTTAAGGTACATTTTATCCATCAGCAATGGGAAAATTCTTGTTGGCTTTGAAGTTTGTAGCATTAAATAGAAATGGGACCTTTCCATTTATATTGGTAACACTTTTCCCTTTGTTATTTTGAGTCATTTGTGGCATTTCTGTGTGTTTTTCTACAGATGGCCTCTGGGGAATGCAATGAAGAGACAGAGGTCTACAACATAACACTATGCACCGGAGACGAGCTGACACTAATGGGCCAGGCGGAGATCCTCTACGCCAAGAGCTCCAGAGAAAAATCGAGGCTCAACACTATTTTCAAGAAGATCGGGAAGCTCAACTCCATCAGCAAGATCGGCCGAGGCAAGATGCCGTGCCTGATTTGCATGAACCATCGCACGAACGAGAGCATCAGCCTGCCCTTCCAGTGCAAGGGCCGCTTCAGCACCTGCAGCCCGCTGGAGCTCCAGATGCAGGACGGCGAGCACACCATCCGGAACATCGTGGAGAAAACCCGCCTGCCCGTCAACGTGACGGTGCCCAGCTGCCCGCCCCGCAACCCGCACGACCTCCACCTCATCCGGGAGGGCCACCGCTACAAGCTGGTGAACATCCAGACCAAGACGGTGGTGGTGTGCTGCGTGCTGCGGAGCCACAAAGTCACGCCCGTCCACTTCCCCTTCCACCTGGTCATGCCCAGGTTCATCGTCCCCGAGGAGCTGCTGCAGGGCGAGCTGTGGCTGGACACCATGGTGCACCGCTGGTTCTCCTTCTGCCAGGAGCAGTTCGACATCGACGACTACTCCCGCGCCGTGCGCGACGTGCGCACCGACTGGAGCGAGGACGGCAAAAGCCCCAAGAAAAGCGCCGGCGGCTGCGGGAGTGCCGGGTCCAACGGCTGCCCCAGCCACATGCAGATCCCCAGCTCCCTGACCTACGCCCGGGACGAGCTCACGCAGTCCTTCCACCGCCTGTCGGTCTGCGTGTACGGCAGCAACCTGCACGGCAACAGCGAGGTCAACCTGCAGGGCTGCGTGACGCTGTGCGGGGACTGGCCGCCGCCGCCGCCCGCCGACGGCAACGGCTCGGACTGCGGGGAGAACGAGCACTTTTTCCCCGAGCCGCCGGACAGCACCGGCCAGCAGCCGCCCCTCGGCGTGGACGTGCCCTACGAGGAGCTGTGGCTGGACCACCTGAGAGGCCAGGTCCCCAAAGCCTCCCCGTCCGGCGAAGGCGTCCGGGGCCTCAACAACGGCTGCGCTCCGGCGCCCGCGCTGGCCTTCCCGCCGGCCTCGCCGCTGGGCCCCGCGCCCAGCTTAGACGTGCCTCTGACCCCACCGCCGGTCCCACCCAAGTCCGAAGCCGTGAGTAGAACGCAACACGCCTCGGGGCCGAACCGCGAAAAGGGGACCTCGGTCGCCTGTTTTTGTGCCGTTTTGCTGGTGAAAAACCAAAGAGCAGTGCAGCTCTGATTGTGTGAAAGCACACACACACACACACACACACACACACACACACACACACACACACGCACACACACAAAAGTAACTCAAGTAATCAAAGGCATCAACTTGTAGCAGGAGACATCTCCAGTGCTGCAAGATTTGCTGCACTTTTGGCATCTTGCAACACGTTACTAACTGTGTGCTAATTAAGCCAAAAGGAAGGAGCCGGGAAAGGATGCATTTTGTAAATATCAGTTTCCCAAAGCTGGCGTAAGTTCAACATTTCACCGTAAACTTAAGGAGATGCTAGTCTGATCCAATTAGAGATGGCAGAAACTACTTCTTTCCTCTCCAAGCATCAGACTCCCGGTTTGGCATGTACTTCTGTTCTGTACGCTAACGCTCACCGCCCCAGTCCAGAGGAACAGGTTCTGATAAAAGAGCGCGGTAAGGTATCTAAAAAAAGAAAATGGCAGAAGAGAGGAATGTTGAACAGTAAGTTACAGCTCAAACGTACATGGCATTCACTCGCCCCATGTCGCACGGGCCGGTAACACAAAGGGTTCAACACCTGGGATGCAGACACACACTTTTCCACTGAAGTATCCACGGTTACACATCTTTTGCTAACAACTGGGGTGGACAAAACAAGTGGTCTGCCTAATCATGGGTCCGTGTTTTAATGTCCGGTGAAGAAAAAAAGAGGAAGTGAGGTAACTGTCTGTGTAACCATGGAAGCAGGTCGTAGTCTCTCCTGCTGTTTTTTCACTACTATCTCATCTCAACTGCTACTTGTTGAAAAAAAGCTTTGAAGTTCAAATTCAAAATATCCGCTTCCTCATACTCTCCCCGAGCATTCAACAGATTTCTCTGCCAAGAATCTCACATTTCTTCTGATGATCAGAGGAAGAGCTGCTTTAGCCTCCGTCTCGTCTCTGCTCCTCTTCCTGAACAACTTCTCTTTAACTCATCTTAGTTTGAGCTCTCTTTTTGTACGCTGTTATTGGCCAAGCTTTGAAAAGCCCCACCACACAAAGAGGCTTAATACTGAAGCTTACAATGTAGGGTTGTCACAATACTAACATTTTCAACTACCGATACTCAGGAAATATTCGATACTCAATACCATTTTCGATACCACAAGGATAAGATTCTGTGACTTTTTTTTTTCCTGCTCAATGCCTAACATCAATCTCTAAAACGCCTCCCTCAGAGTCAGACACCCCACCACTGTAAATTCTTACTAATTAATAGTAAGAATAGTAATTATAAATTCTTACAAATTTATTGGCATTTATTTATTCTTCTCACACTATCATTATCACTTATTTTAGATCTGTATATATACTGTCTAATATATGCATATACACATATAGTTATATATGTATATACTTATATTTTGTGTGGAATATTGTGCGTATATATATATATATACATATATATATATGTATATATATATATACACATACATATATACATATATATGCTGTAGTATATCTGGAGTTGGAAACAAAAATAATTTCCCTCTGGGATTATTAAAGTATTTCTGATTCTGATTTCTGTCCTCCCAAAACCCCCCCCCCCAAAAAACAGGTAAAGGAAGAGTGCCGTCTCCTGAACGCCCCACCAATCCCTCCACGAAGTCTAAAACAGCCGCCGCCGTCGGCCCCCGCCCCGTCCAAGCCGCGCCAGCAGGACACCCGCTCCCCCAGCCCCACGCTGTCCTACTACTCCTCCGGCCTGCACAACATGTAAGAGTCCCCAGAGCACGGGGGGGGGGGGCTTCTGTTTCCTGATCCGTGTGCCCAGTTCCAGCTCCAGGCTGGTCGGGTGCATGGTGGGACTGTAATCCACCAGATAGATTCGAGGTCGACCGAAACCCAGAAACACACGACTGCTCTGAACACCCCCGTTAGTAGTTGGTACTTTCCACCTGATTAAATGAACCACAGACTGGATGAGACTAACAGGCAAATTGGTCCACCAGTCCGAGTTTTGGTCGACCCAGAACGTCTGGACCAATAAGTCGAGCAGTTGAGTAGGACTTTACAGCCCTAGTGCTTGGTTTTCATGATACAGTAGAAACATCTACATAGGAATTTTATTCGGTCCAGGGCCTAGTTTATATGTTAAAATATTGGTCTGTTGGTTGAAATATTCCCATCAGAAAACATTCTAATTCCTATCATTTGTTCCACAGCCCCAAAAGCCACAATAAATCCTTAGTAAATACTGCAGATAATTACACATAGAGATAAAACAAATGCATTACATCAGACAGATGTAAAAAAAAAAAAATAATAAAGAAATAATCAATATAAAGGTTTTTTTTTATTGGCGAACAGATGTAGAGGTGGAGACTAATATACAGTATGTACTATAACTTACTCTAACTTTCACTATGTGAACTTTAAACTAACTTAGCTTAGTTATTTTTAGTTGATCTTTATATTATAATTTTTTTTCTATGATTTCAACGTCATATGTTGGAAATTTTCTTCGGGTGTTCAGTCGAATATTTGATCGAATTTTACATTGGATGTTGGAAAAATCGTATGTTTAGGTAATCGGAAGTAGAGGTTCTTTTTTTGTCTTTTTTTAAAATAAAAAAACCATAGGTTCTGCTGTTGCTGTTTTTCATCTTGTATTTCTCCCATCAGCAGTGGGCCCAGTGAGCCGGACGGGGCTGACCCGGCTGAGCCCGGCCACGTCTGCTACCCCTGCAGCTGGGGGCCGTCCAGCCCCGAGCCCCCCCCCGCCGCCGGCCCCCCGCCGGAGGGCGTGTCCTCCCGCCTGTCCTGGCCCAACAGCTTCAGCGGCGGGGAGCCGCGGGGCGGGGGGGGGGGCGACCCCGACGGCGTCCCGCCCGCCGGCGGCCGCAGCTACTACAGCTACCCCCGGAAGAGGGCGCCCGGCGGCCCCCGCACCGCCACCTCCAGCCTCATCGACTTCGACGGCGGCGGGGGGGGCGGCGACTTCTGCTCGCAGGCGGCCTCCCTCGGCCAGATGTGCACCAAGTCGTCCAGCTGCAGCTCGGAGATGCACCGGGACACGCCCATCACGGCCAGCCACGGCCGCCAGAGCCTGTCCTGCCCCATCCTGCCCCCCCGCACCCCCAAAGCCGGCCCCGCCCGGAACCACGGGGACGCCCCGGACCCCGGACCGGAGCCGGACCCCCTCGCCCCGGAGCCACACCCCCTCCCCGACCCGCCACCGGCCTGTACGGCCGCCGGCCAGTGGCAGCCGCCGGCCAGCCTGGCGGGCGTGTCCATCGAGGAGGTGTCCCGGTCACTGCGCTTCCTGGGCCTGCCGGACGACAGCGTGTCGCTGTTCGTGTCGGAGAAGATCGACGGCAGCCTGCTGCTGCAGCTGACCGAGGAGATCCTGGCCGAGGACTTCCGGCTCACCAAGCTGCAGGTCAAGAAGCTGATGCAGTTCATGGGGGGGTGGAGGCCCAAAATCTAGACTCAGAGACGCCCCCCCCGTACGGACGCTATGCACATCGCCCACCGAGAGTCTGAGCTTGTGTTTTACACCAGCTCCGCCTGAGCCCCCCCCCCCCCCCCCACCGGTGGGAAGACGGGCCCCAGCCCACTCAAACCGCTAATGAATGGGATCATTTGGCACTTTTAACGGAGACATTTTCACGTCAACTTTTAAGTACTTTTTTTGGTTTGTTTTTTTGCTTTTTAATCCAAAGCCCCCCCGCCCCAGCCTGGTCTCCTAGTATTATTTTTTACTTCCACAAAACACATTAACAGAGCCCAAAGAGATCCCAGTTTCTTTCTCCAAGGAGATTTCCAACACTAAGGATTCCACAGCATAGGTTCCCCGTCTTTAGTTTTGGGAGCGACGGGCTAAAAAAAGGAGGCCGTTCTGTAGTTTTCTCCCCCATCCACGCAGCAGAGAATGTCAACGCAGTCCTACGCCTAAATGGAAACACCCTAACACTACACGACCAGCCTAAGCTCCTCTCAGCCTCCCAGGTTTGCTCTTTTTCGCCTCCGCGGTACCGCACCAACGTGCAGCTGTTTTGTGTTTTATTTTTAAAAAGAATTGAAAGAATTCTTAAACTAAATAAATAAGTAGCTTTATCCAATATGAAGAGTATATGAACGTATGACAGGATTTTTGAGCAAAACGATATAAAAAGCTGTTTTCTGAGGGGAAAAAATGATGTAAAAAAAAAAGATATATGCTGAACTGTAATTATGCAACACCCCTATTTCTGTTCTATGCCTTTTTTATTCTTTAGTTTAACTCTAACCCAAGATGTCTCAGCCTAAACGTAACCACGGGTTACCGGAAGCTGAACAAACTGTAAAAAGTCTAACTGTCCTGACTCTGGAACTAACAGAAGTAACACGACCGAGAGGTGACGGACCACGAGCTTTGTTGTCAAAATACAAAAATCCATGCATCGTGCACTTTTGTAGACGTGGTGGCCGTCTTTTGTTTTTGTTTTTTTAGGAATAGAAACCTGTTGAAGTGTCTTTACGGAGCGAACGCGCCACGTGTTTTTGTTTAGTTTCCCCCAGATTTTGACGGTACGTCTGTTCATTTAGTTCTTTTTTTCCCCCACAGTTTTATGTACTACAAGTGTCCTCTAACAGAAGAAACTGGAGCCGTTTCTTTGCGCCTTAACCCAAAGCCCTTAAGATTCTTAATGTTTGAAACGTTCGCCAAACGTCTTTTGTGTTTGTCTGTTTTTTTTTTGTTTTTTAAGCCAGTTTTCACCATCTTTGGCCTCAGCTCAAACCGAGGGAACAACGTTGGCTTAGTGCTTTTCCTCCAGAACGGATTTATTTATGGAAAACGTGTTCGCCCCCCCCCCCCCCCCCCCCCCCCAACAAAAAAAATCTAACGACACTTTTTACAACTGATTGTTACATATTTTACTTGATATGTTTATTTTCTACGTGCGTCATTTTGAAAGAAAAAATTATTACTAATGTCGACTTTATTTTTTACGAGAAAAAAAACGTGTGTGATTTTCTGTTTTGTTTTTCTTTGTTTAAATCCACGAACTGAAAAAGATACTTTACTCATAATGGGGAAAATAATAAAAAAAACAAACCAAACTGCAAGCCTCAGTCACGTTTAAACGTACTGTAAAACAAACTCACTAACCAGATTTCTTCGTCCTTTATCTTTTTGGGAGGGGGGGACTATTTTCTGCCAGTTCTGTCTTATGCAATAGCCTCAGCGCTCCGCAGACTCCCGGAGAGGGAGCAGCGGGGTGATTTTTGGCGAGTATTAAGAGCACAGACGTGCCACAGTGTTGATTTCCGATCCACGATTCTACTTGAATAATCCTCAGATAAGAACTGAACCCACTGTGACAACAGGCCCGCTGGTTTCATGGTACCTACAGCTCTGGACTGAGGCCTGCATAGCAAAATAAAGTGCCCCCCCACCTTTTTTTTTGTCTTCTTTCTTTTGGTTTTGTTTAAAGGGACTGTGACACTGGGTTTGATGTTTGTTCAGCTGTCATTTGTCATTCCCTTATTCTCTTTGCATCCTATTTTTGATGGTAAATTCTATTAAAAAGTGGATTAACTGGAGCCCCCGCTCTTTTTTTCTTCCGTAACACTCATCGGTTGCACAGTGTCACAAGAGTTTGGTGGTGAAACGGAACCAGTTTGCTTAATAACTACTTCACATGCACTGAAAACGATATATATTTAAAAAAAAAAACATATGAATACCCAGAAGACTGAACTTTAGAGGTGATTTAGTACAATGTACAAGGAGAGTGAATTTCCAGCTAATTTAAGTTTAAATGGGACTCAAATTGGACCTAGCAACAGACGGATATGAGAGTAACAAACACGAGGTCTCCACAAACCCCACAATTTCATCACAGGATCTTCAAGTAGCTCGGTTTGTCCAAATTTGGAAGAAATGTGATTTTAGGGAAACAAAACATCCCTTCTGTTGTCGCAACTGCTGCCGTGTTCGAATTTGAGCTGCAAGAAGCTTTTAACATAGAAAGCACGTAGGCGTGGGTGTCATGATTTGGGGCTTTTTTTATGCCTCAGAGAATTTGCAGCTTCCAGAATAAAATACTGGAGCTGTTTCATAGCCTGGTCCGAGCCGTTCTGATGACCGATGGGCAGAGATTAAACAGTTCCAAAACTATAAGCACAGTTAATGGAATCGGCCTCCATTCCAAAAACCTACCGGCTACCATCAGATTATCCAGTTGCTTTGCAAAAGGCTGAAACAGAAGCAGAAAAGACAGCAGATCAGTTGGAGGAATCAGAACCAGTTCTGCTTTCGCGGGCCGCTTACAGCTGCTACTTCCTGGCTTACGTAAAGCCGCCCGCTTCTCACCCCACAAGCTCCGCCTTCCATCTGACGGTCAAACACAGGGTGACAGAAAACCCACTCCCGAGTTTAGGTGGCTCAATTTGAGCTGAATGACTCTCTCTCGTCCATTCACAATTCTTTTTTAAATGAATAAAAGGAAAGTAAAAACCAGAGCGGCAGTATAAATTCGGAGTGGAGTTGTAAATAATATGTTTAGAGGCGGTGGTCGAATGAAAAGGGAGGAGAGAGGTTTCAGTGTTCAGCTTCCTGACAGTTTGGTGGTTTCCTGAAACCAGGACGCTGAAGACGGAGTGTAAAGGCCAACTGGTTCACCTCATTTCAGGAGTCTTTAGTTTGACTCATCCAAAACCAAACAAAAAAGAGAAACAGCAAACGGTGAGTGACGCTCAGTCATGAGCTGTAGATAGAAAGTCTTCTGGCCTTGAAGTGAGTGGTAATTCTTTCAGATTTTTACAGGAGAGGAGTGGATGTGGACCATGTTCTGACAACGTGATCACGGAAGGAAACGGTCAAAACCCAAGAGGCTGTTTTCTAAACATCACAACCACATGGAGCTGTAAAATTAAATTCACATTAGTCAGTCCAATCATATTTCTATAGCACCAAATCACAACAGATGCCACCCACCAAAACTTCAAATTAAGGTCTAACTAATTGGAATCCTATCCAATCAATAAAAGTTCATTAATTTCCAAATACATCAAATTCATTACGTGTCAATTGAAGAGGTTTTCGCTAAGGGAACCAACATGCTACACTGAATTTTCTCTGATATTGATTGATTCAGTTGAACAAAAAGAAATGATTTAATTTTAAATGCGTTCAATTTGAATGAAGCTAAATTGAGCAATCTTACACACCGGCTGAAACACGGCGGTGGGGATATTATGGTTCGGATTGGTTGTGCTGCATCAGAGCCTTGTCGATAGAACAGAGAGTTCTGGATCATGTCAGAAAATGCCAAAGGAAATAAATGATCACTTCATTTTCAAAACACTATATTAGCTAAACTACCGAATACATTTAAAGGGACCGACTCTAGGGTTGTAATGTCAGTTAAATGTCATTACAAATTCTCACATGTACACAGAAAAACACAAACGTTTTTAAAACTTGTTTGTCCTCAAGATATTATTGGTTCTCTGCCGTTTTCCACATCTTCTGCACAATCCCAGAGAAGGTTGGAAGAGCCTGTTATTAAGCGTGGCTGCTAAACTAAATCAAATCCAGCAGACACGCGGTCGTGTTGGAAAATGTCATTTTCCGCTGTGGCATTTTGTGCTGTGAGGTTTAAACCCCACTTTAAGTCCAGAACACTGTAACTGTGAGCGGATGCTGATCTTAAATGAGCTAAGTTCATTACAGCGAGACAATTCAATTTTGGGGACTTTCTTTTTTTAACATTTTGATAAAGGCAAGCTTAAAACAAACAAGTGACCTAGTGGGCTACAAAGCAGTTAGTAACCAGTAGTCTGAGCCATTATACTAATACCTGACCTAAGTCTCAAGAACATGGACATTTTTCGGTTAAAAAACAAAAAAAGTCAACTGAACAGCAAGAGTCACCTTTAAATGATCCCGTCTGATCCATCAGATTGGATGTTTTTTTTTTTCACTGATCATCTTTTAACCCTGTAATGCCAAATGTATCATATTTGAAACATACGGTTTCTGAAATGTTTTGCTTCTGACACCTTTTGCATAATTTAATGTTAAAAACGTTGCTCAAAATCCTATTGTACACAATCAGACACACCTGATAACAGGGGCCAGAAGACTACACAAAAAATAATCTTGACTTATCGCATAGTGATAAATTATTCATTTAAAAAATGTATTTCTGTTTTTTCTTTTTACGTATTTTTTTAAAAGGCCAAATAAGGAATTCAAACAAAAAAAAGTAATTTTCTGTTTTGTTTTATTCTTGGGTCGGGCATTAAAGGGTTAAACTTGATGATTCAAAAGTGTGACAAATATTATCTTGAGACTTCCTCAGATCTCCTAAACCCGACTTTAGGGGGTTTAGGAGCTTATCTCCCATTCTGAGGGTCTTGTCTGCTGCAGTGAGGCGTTTAAAGACTTATTTTAGTTCAGGATTAGGAGGTGTTTGTAACAGTTCAGCTCTCGTCTCTTTCCTTTGGGAAGCAACGCACATCTAACCCCGACAAGGCTAAAAAGTAAGTGTATACGCAAATTGTTTTTCTTTTATGGGTCAGTTCCACAACTGAAGCGGCTCCTGATGCTGACCTCTGTCAAATTCTCCCCCTGCTGCTGGCCTCTTTCTTTATGGTGATTCAGGCCAGATTAAGAATTAAAGATTATTTTTGTCTTTTTCTTGACATCTTCCAGCTTTCCATGTTTTTTCTTTTTTCTTGGATTTGGTACATCTTTTTCCCTGTAGCATATCCACGACCACGGGACCCGGCTGGTCAGCCATTACCTCTGGGCCTGGACGTCCAGCAGGAGCTTTGCTGTCATCCTTTCCCCTCTTCGTTCGTATCTCCCACTTTGAGTTTCCATACTCTGTACAGATGTTCCTGAACACGAGCAGCTCCACTTTACAGGCCGGAGATCTCTTATTCTTCATGAGGGATTCACAGAAATGACTTAAACTCATCCTGTCCTGGTTCTGTTTCGCTCCCTCATGCTGGATGAATTATTCCAACCTGTTTGGATTTGAAGTCTTGGCTAAAACGATTAGCTTGACTTTGGAAATCTCAGCCAGCTGCTTCCCTTGTCGTTATGGTTACGCATAGTTATAGCCATAGTTACGATCAGACAGGAGTATCGGTAAATGTCATTCCAGAAACACTGTTCCCATCAGATGAAAACAGCCATGCTGTAGCTTCATTTTTGTTTTTAGACACAAGCTTAACAACGCTGGTTATCTTTGTGCCATCAATCCTGTTTTCAGATAGATTAAGCTGGATTAAGGATGAAAAATGAAGCATCAGACGACTCCAGCTCAAGTTTGTAAACTTTTATTTGATATAAATGCTACAGCAAATTTCCAAATCACATTATTTTTGATACAGTTCTTCTACTACACAAGCTAAGTAAAAAAAGACAACAACTTTACGCTTTTTAACGATGAAAAGCCACATTTCTCAACATTCTGAAACCATCATTTGTTTCCCCCACCGTTTGTCTCAGAAACATCTCAAACCTAAAGGGAATCAGAACCATGGCTCCCAGCCCTCCCACACTCTGCCCAGCACGTTGGGGTCCGTGGCCTGGTCCAGCAGACAGTCCACCTGCCTCTCCACCGTCAGGCCGGCTGCGGGCAGCCTGGCGCGGACGTTCAGCTCCTCGTCACCCGCGGCGACCAGCTGCATCCCCGGGAAGGCGGCGTCCTTCTCAAAGCCCAGTTTCAGCTCCTCGCTGACCAGACCCAACGGCGAGCGTCGCAGAAAGAAATGAAGATTTAAAAAGGCTCTTTTGACTTTGTAAAACTTTCTCTAAGGACTACGGTGGGTCTCTGAGTGGATTGGGCCGATACCTGGTTATGGCCGCTGGATTAGCTCCCTCTAGCTTCCTCCGGGCGAAGCTGACCTTCTGCAGAGGGTACCAGTTGATCTCTTTGGTGTCCACGCTCTGCGTCCACGTGCCTCCCTTCTTCAGCTGCTTCATCTCAAAGTTCTGTGTGACACGGAGGGTCCGCGTGCTGTTAAACGGGACTTTTACGGCACTGTCCGCTGCCCGGCCCGAGGGCCGCCGGACAGTTGGGACCACTGACCGATCGCTAAGCGCCTGTTCGTTCCTCCTGAGCCCCCAGCGGATGGACTGATAACTGACCCCTGGAGGGGGCATTTCTACAACCACCCAACACGGTTAAGAAAGTTTAAAGTTTAAAATTGAATGAAAGACGCAGATTGTGGGAGCTGATGATGGATTTTGGATTCATTCAACGTACGCTTTCAATGGGGAAGCTTTTCCCTTTAATTTGATAAATGATAAATCATGAATTGACAATGATTTAAAAAATCATTAAAGCCATCGACTTCAGTTTGTAAACTCATTTGTAATTTTCTGGTTCACATTTCGTCTTTGACCAAACATTTTCTCAGGACTGTTTTAGTTAATATGCTCATTTATATGAAAGGTTTTCCAACTTTTTGTGGTCAAAATGATCCAAAGCTTGAATCAGAATCAGTCTGTATTTAGAAGATTAAATACAGTTAATTTGAAATGTGATCGGTCGTTGATATCTTTTTTTTAAAACTATTTTATTAGATTTGTGTGGCGGGCTGGAAAAATAGGGCTCAGAGTCTTAAGGCGAGGAAAAAAAATTCTTGAGTTTTTATCTGTTTTACTTAGACGTAAAAGCAGCTGCTTTCATGCTCATAAGCTGAGATGATTTGTGAAAAGCGTTTGCTTTAATTTCATACCGACGTGGAATTTGAGTTAGTTTTGGATAGAAAGGGGGAAGAGGGCTTTAGAGGTTAAAGAACTCATGGATTACAGCTCTGTTTGGGCTGTAAATACACAGCGTGATGATAAAAACCTTTGACGGACAGATATCTGGATACTCCCTCATGGACAGATTTGGGCCACCTGGTCTTTTTTACCTTCCAGTCCAGAGAGGGCTCCTTGACGAACACGTCCATGGTGTTGAGCAGGAGGTCCGGCTCGGCCCGGTAGGCCCGCAGCGAGTGGACCATGGTGCTCTGGACCAGCCCCGCCTCCTTCAGGGGCTGCATCAGATTGACAAACTGCTGGCTCAGCCGGAAGGGCATCAGCTCGGGGACGGGGAGGAACTGGGATAGAAAAGATAAATAAACACATTTTTAAAAAAAGGCAGCCTAATTCGCTTTTCGATGTGCTGACATTTCTGAATGGACTGACGGCTATGCTAATATGATGTCTTAGCTTGACTGTTTTGGTTTAATATGCGCCCATTCGACTGGTAAACATGTATTATGCTCATTTATATGAGAGTTTTTCCAGTCCTCTGTGGTCAAAATGAACAACAACTTGAATATGAATAAGTTTGTATTTAAAAACTCGAATACATTGCTTTCTATTTTGCCTCAACGCTGCGGTTAAGTCAGTGTTTTGGGCCCCGAGAGGAAGTGATTCTCATCCCCTTAGTTCCTTTTTAACCAGAAAAAAGTAAGAAACTGTTCCTACTGCACGGTGTAAAGGAGAGGATAAGACATAATCTTGGCACTGGGGCTGTTAGTGGATATTCAGTTTTTTGTTTGTATTCCACGGCATTTGCATGAGTAAACTACATAAACTGAGCAAAAACGGCTAGAAAATAGTACTATATAAAGTTTAATGTTTACTAGCTCATTCAAGGAACAGAATATTCATAAATCCCATCCATTCAGCACAGCCAAAAAGGCTTTAACATATTTTTAAAATATAACCCCACCACTATCTCCAAAGGGATTTTTTTATAACAACTTGGTTGTCCCACAGCAGTGTAATGTAGCAATAAATATATTTAAAAAAAAAAAATTTGGGGTTCTGGGAGCAGATTGTATCATCAGATGAGACTTAGGTAAATCTCAGACAAGCACAGAGGGGAGAGTGTGATGATATGGGGTTCATAAAGCAGAAGAAATATATGCAACATATTTCCTTGACTGTCCTCTGGTTCTTGATATAAAATCAAAATTAATGAGAGCTTGTTCTTTGGAGAGCTCTCGTCAGTAGAAAACAATGCTTTTGCTGGACTCACCTGAGTGGCCGATCCGAAGGCGTGGCCGAAGTCGATGCCGATCATTCCTCCGGTTTCCATGTTGATCATGAAGTTGGAGAGGTGGCGGTCTCCGATCCCCAGGATCCAGTGGCTGACGCACAGCAGGGCGTGCGAGCTGATGAAGTGGGAGCGCAGCGACAGGAAGGCCTCGGGGCTGTTGCACATCTTCAGGAAGGCTCTCCTAGAGGTCAGAAAAAAAGGGAAGGCTGCAGTTCCAACTTTGGCCGGCACGCGTTCGGAGCCGGTGCTGGACTTACTTCAGCAGGTCGCAGGGCACATGCTGCGACACCTTCAGGAAGTTGCTGACTGCGTCGGCACGTTTCGCTTTCCTGGGAAACAATAAGGAGGATTTACACCAGATGTGTGTGTGTGGATATATATACATATATAAATATATACTTCACACAGCAACTTTATCCAACTTACTTATATGCATGTCCATATAAAGCAATACCGCACAAGTTTGCTTTTAAAGCTAAGTTTGAGAGCCATTTCCTGTAGATTTCTGGACACCTTAAAGAACAACAAAAACAAACCCACTGTTAGTTGAAAATGTCATATATAATGTACGAATATACATTAAGCCGAATATACATTACCTTGCTGCCCTTTGCTGCTCCCCCTCGGTCATTGTGTTGTACAGAAACTCTTTTAGAGTGCAGGTGTTTTCCATCCATTCAATCAGACCAATTCTGAACAAAGGAATCATTCATATTTAATATTAATACACTTAATATTATGTGTGGAAATGCCCTGAGATCTTTATTTATGATTGAACTAATGCTACTGTGAAGCCTTCATTCTCTACTGTACTGGATACAGCAAAAAAAAAACCAAAACAACTTAAACTCGACGTCATTTGAATTGCACCTGGTGGTTATGGGAATAACTTGATAGGTGCGGAGCTGAAGGCCTCGGCGCGTGCACGCCGTGTCGTGGCTCAGCAGGATGTTCATGACGGAGAAGAGCTGCTCGATGCGCTGGTCCTGCCGGAGGTCCTCCCCCCCTTTCACCAGGAAGGGGTGGTCCCGCTCGTCGTCCCCGCGAATGACCAGACGCTTCGGACGTCGGATGGAGGACATCACTTTTACCTGCAGGGCGAAATATCCATGAGGACGACGGACCACATGATGCGTTTGTAAGGGGGGCGGGGGGGGCTTAAACAGGTAAACTGACCCGTTCATCAAAGCCAGTTATCTTGGCGTGATACTCCGGTAATGGTTTGGATCTGCCGTCATACTGTCCTGCAAAAGAAGGAAAGGAAGAGAATAAGGTATTTATTTCATAAGGTATTTTAAAAGGGAATCCTCAACCACATTTATTCGAGAGAAATTTGGAATTTTTCTTGTTCGCGAATGGGGGTGGGGAGCGTGAGATAGACAGGCGGATCGGTGTGGCGTCTGCAGTAATGCGGGCGCTGCACCGGTCCGTCCTGATGAAGACAGAGCTGAGCTTAAAGGCGATTCCCATCCTCATCTATGGCCACGGACTTTGGGTAGTGACCGAAAGAACGAGATCGCGGATACAAGCGGCCGAAATGAGTTTCCTCCGCAGGGTGGCTGGGCTCTCCCTTAGAGATAGGCTGAGAAGCTCAGCCATCCGGGAGGGGCTCAGAGTAGAGCCACTGCTCCTCCACGTGGAGAGGAGCCAGTTGAGGTGGCTCGGGCATCTGTTCAGGATGCCTCCTGGTCGCCTCCCTGGGGAGGTGTTCCGGGCTCGTCCCACCGGGAGAAGGCCCAGAGGAAGACCCAGGACCCGCTGGAGGGACTATGTGTCCCGGCTGGCCTGGGAACGCCTCGGGATCCCAGAGGGAGGGAAGTCTGGGTTTCCCTGCTCAGGCTGCTGCCCCCGTGATCCGACCCCGGATAAGCGGTGGAGAATGGATGGATGGATGTGGAACGTTATCTACCGATGGGGAGCGATTGTGTGCCGACAAACCTGGGATCTCCAGCTCGTTCATGAACGGGTCTGCTTTGAACCCGCTCAACCAGGGCGAGTATTCCTTCAGGTTCCCCGGCTCTTTCTGGAAGCCACGCATGGCGGCCGCCAGCTTTTCCACCTGCTGCAGGAAGCTCTTGTCTCTCCTCTTCTCAAACAGGTGACTGCCGTTGGGCCCCAGCAGTTTTTCGACGTCTTTGGAGAATTTCTGTGGCCGACACAACAGCAAAATGGTGGACCAGCACACGCACAAAACAGGACGGCGCAGACACAGATGCATCCCACTGATCGACCAGGTTACCGGCAAAAAAAGATCAGGCATCTAGAAATGTATCACCTTATTTCATTTTAAGAGTAGAGGCCGAGTAGGCATGTGATCTAATCAAATCAAAGGGGTACAACCTACATATATCTAGAGAGAAAAATACACTTCAAACTTAAAATCTGTTGAGGGGAATTCTAAATGACTTCTATTCAACTTTCCTGGCTCAATGTTCTTTATTTTACTCTGAAGATAAATAATGTATTGGCTTTTTAACAAATCTTTTCTTACATTTTGGGTTTAATTCTGCAAGTTAGTAAAAAGGAAAACTAGTGGCAAATAGAAGCTATGTGTAATAAATCCACATGCTAGTTGAACTGTAACGGACTCTGATAAAGAATCATTGTACAAAACGTCAGTAGGTTAGCTTTAATATTTTAACTAGCAAGCTAAAAACAGCGAGTTTTGCTTTTAACAACAAATAGTTCAAATGTGTTTTGTCAGTTCTGGCTTTTTCTCTGAAAAAAAAATCCATATTTTTCATTAAACACCAGCAATGAAGTAATCTGTTTAATATTTTAATCAAATCTTTACGAAAAGGCGTATATAGCAGTGGATGTGAGTTGACAGAAGACCAAAATGTACATTTTCGGTAGTACGATGCCACATTAGAAACTCACTGACTCACCTGGATGAATTTATTCCGAAACGCTCCATGACCCTCGGCGGTACGGTCTCCGAGGGAGGAGTGCAGCTCGGCGTACACCTCATTCATCCTCTTCTTGTCAAATTTGGGCTTTTCCAATTCGTTCTTTACACCATCCCACCAATCCTGTTTTAGACAAAATAATGACGCTCGATGTCAAAGCTCCAAAAAGCTGCTCGTCTGACTTGTGACTGGAGATGCGTTCGTCACCTTAAAAATCATGTCAGGATTTGTAAGCTGCTGAAGAGCATCAACGAAGTTCTTCACAGAGCCTTTATTGTCCAACCTGCTCATGAGCCTGGAAAGACATCAACGATATTCACAGATGTCCGTCTTCTTGAACATAGATTTGCAAGTAAACCAACTATCCACCAATAGATCTCCATATGTGCTACCCAGACAAAGTATTAGGTACAGTACCGTTGGACAAACTCCTGGTGCTGGTGTCCCGTAGCCGAGTTCTCAAACTGGTAGCTCTCTCTGCTGATCATGAGTGCGTAAACTAGTGCCTGAGGGTAGCACGTTGCTATTTGATCAATGCAGTGCTGCACCGCCACGGCTTCTGGCTTGTCCAGTAAAGCCACCATTTGGCTGATCCAGCCGATCAGCATCCAGCACGGAACCGACGTGATCTAAGGGAAGAACGCGTTCCAGGATACGGCAAATAATCCAACTGAGACTCCAAAGTAAACAGTTTTACTGTTTTTATCCATTCACTCCAAAGGTCCTAGTCAGCCAGACAAAGTTCTTAAGAATAAATCTAAACGCATACGTACTCTGAGCACCAATGAGAAATGGGAAAGACATTAAAGAAGCTGGTAGACTGACCTCTGCGGTCATGAGGCTCAGGGTCTCGGATGGATACAGCTCAATGATCTGCAGCAGGCGTGGGAACTTAAGGCGAGCCTCCTCTGAGTTCATCTTCAGTGCTTTCAACATGCTGCTCACTACATGGACAGGCAGTGCTAGACTGTCTGGAAGCTGGCTTTCTGAAATCAAATGCACGTGTAAGACAAATAAAAACACCACCTGAAAGACATGATAAAGCACCATCTGTCAATTAACTTTTACTCCCATTATAGGCCACCTTAAGTAATACTATTTATCAGTCATACTCACAATAACAAAAAAAATAAATGTATATCTTAATTAAGGACAGCGGGATTAGTGAAAGCCACTTACTGGTGTCATTCTGCTCCTCCTCACGCAGCAGCTTATCACAGAAGTTAGCCAGAGCCATGTAGGTCTCTATGACGCCGCTGGAGTCCACAAAGTCCTGAGAATAAGACTGGAGCTCCTCCTCAGCCTTTTTGGTCCCTTCGTGGAACAACTTCAGTGCCTTCGACTGCAACCCAATTTCCACCTCCTGCAGGGGATGTCAGCTTCTTAAAAATGCGTCACCATCACAACCGCCACTGGTTTCCATTATCAGGTAAAGGATCTCTAAGATGAATTCATGTTGGGTTTAAATGTGCTTCTGGTGCTTCCGGTTAAAACAACCCTTCCCACAGACCTGGCTGCATTCAGAAAAGAGCTAAGATTTATTTATTTATTTTGCACTCATGCTTTTGGGGTACTCTAGCAGTAAAATTTGCTTAAAGCACATTTTTTATTGGGCCATGTAAATATGCAGTTTGTATCAAATTTGAAACGGGACAATAAAATCCAATGTGATCAAAAAAAGTTACAAAAACCAACAAAAAAAACCAACATATTTTTTGTGTAAACTTTAAAGTGCCGCTGAAAGATTAAGATACCTTTGAATCTGTATTTGGTTGAACAACTCCTGAGAGCGTTACGACTTTTTCTTTTTTCTCGGGCTCAATAGTTTCCAGAACCGACGGGCTTTTGCCGACCGCTGCAGCCAGGATGTGGAACGACGTGCCCTGGAGGATCTTCTGGTGTCGGAAAACCTTGCTCGAGGCGTTGCGACAGTCGGCCTGAAGGTCCTCTGCGGAGAAACGGGAGGTGATGCGACTCATCGTTCCGAGCCCTAAACTGAGGATTTGATTCTTTTCTTACCCAGGAGGGGGATAACCTTCAGCATGGTGCTGATCTGCTCCAGGGGGCCCTGCGTGTGGCTGCGCTTGTGACTGTAGCGGCTAAAACAGTGGACCCAGCGCAGCAGCCGGCCTCTGTCTGCTTTCGCTTCTCGGTGAAGCTCTTTCAGCAGCTTGGTGGAAACCGGGAAGTTTTTCTGAAAAAGAAAATGTGGTGGTTCAAGATGAGCTTTAGCATAAAAAAAAACAAAAACAAATCAAAACACGATAAATATCCTCAGAATTCAATTCAGCACCTGTTTCCACGCACTGTCGGCCATGCGAAGCTTCATGTTGAACTTGCAGTCGTTCACTAAGGTGTCCACATCAGCCGCTGGCTCCTGGGAGTCGTCCACCTCCATGCTGTCGCTGGGAGCCGGGTCTCTCAGCTTTTCCCGGATTTTATCCAAAAAGAAACACCTGAGCGAGAGTTGAAAAACGAATCCAGGTCAGTTCATTTGAAATTTTCCATAAAATAAAAAGACAAAAAAAAACAATGGCTTCCTGGTCTTGTTGTTTTTACCGAGACGTAATGATGTCGTCCCACACGTTGACCGGATCCACCTTAGCATCAGGATATCTGTCAGTCCATAATCGAATAAGGCGCTTCAGGGAGCTCACAGACACTGATGAAGACAAAAAAACAACAACAACAACAATAATTAAACTAAGTCTAAACAACAAGAAAGAAAAAGACTAATAGCCATGTTAACAGACCGTCTCCTTTAACGAACAGCAGGAAGTCCTGGATCTCAGTCAAGGCCTGCACCGACTGCAGGATGGTCAGTCGACTCTGGGTCAGCAGGGTGTCCACGCTGCAGTAGCTCTGCACACGCACAAAGATCCAGCACAAACCTATCAAAATCTACAGCAGACACTGAAACATTTCTGCTCATTCGTTACTACTATAAGGGGATGTATTATAGATGAAAAAATAATACTCTACCAGCTTCAGAACATAGATTTGGGAGGGTCAAGTTACTGTTAACATGAACATTACATAATAACAAACTTTAGCTGCCCTACGTTTAAATAAAAAACACACTTAGAGAGATTCAGATTTTTACTTCACACTCACAGTTTCTTGATGTTTCCAATTCAATGTCAAAACATGCTACAAATTCCTAACAGTAATTCTATAGTTAGCTGGACTGAATGCTAATGGGTGCTAATGTGAGTTAGGCAGTTTTATACTTAAAATAGTGCTAATGGTTTTTAAAAAAAAAGGCAGAACATGTCTTCTTTATAGCATATTTCTACAGAAATGTGTGGAAAAGCTTGTTGTGTTTAAGGATGAGATGGTTCGATGCAAAAAGAGGCAGGTTGAACCTCCATGAAGAGCTGCATGGCGTTGTTAGTGTAGTATTTGGCACGGTCGTAGTCCTCCTGCAGGATGTAAAGCAGGCTCAGCTCCTGGCTGTACTGGCTCTCCAGCAGCTTTTTGCGCTCCTCCACCCTCATGGCTTTATCGATGAAGCTCAGAAGAGTCTGGTCTGTTTCGCCCAGCTGCAGCTGCTTCAACATGCTGCGGATCATGTGTTGCAGGTACATAACCTGACGCAAAGAAAAGATGAAAAAGGTGAGGTACACACTACCCATTTTCTCTTATTTATGACCAGAAATTAACAATTAGAAGGATATTTACATATCACAAACGGAGGACATTATTTACTGTTATTTGAGTTACCTGGTAGAAAGGCTCTGACCATATCCTTTCCAGGTCTGGGGGAGAGTTTTCATCTATGTACACAGTAGAACAGTACTGAAGAGACTTCCACTCAGCTAGCTGATTGTAGGCCTCCATAGCAGCTATTTCCCAGAAGTCCTTCTCAGAGTCGGTGGGTTCGCCGTCCTCCCAGTTCTCAGTGTTCAGGGCCTGCCGTTGGGGAGAAACGACAATGCCAAAGATGGATTTTCACCACTGCCGGGCTCCCAAAGCCCCGTTTTAAAGTTTCACGATAAATAAAGCGGACTTGACTATCGGGCTCTCACAGCAGAGCCCCGTACCTCGTTGTAAAGCTTCACAGCTTCTGAGTAGTCAGTGTTGGCTTCAGCTTGGAGCGCTGTGCAGGTGATCGACTTGGTGCCAACTTTCCCACCAAAGATGCCTCGCATGACATCATAGTCCTCCAAAGATCTATAAAGCCTGGATGAGACATGGCACTGTCATTAATCATGCGGATAACGTGCCTGTTAGCTGTACCTGTGCTTAGGCACCATTTAATGCATTTTTTACCTTGCGAGGTGGATCCATTTATTTGTGTCCGGGGGGATTTCTTTGTGTCCTCGTGCCCGCTTGGCAGGGCGCTCATCCGGCCCACTGGCATGCAGCAAATCCTCCTCCAGCAGCAGGATCCCCGACGGCTGCTGGAGGCTCACCAGGCACGTGGAGCTGACGGCTGCTGGATCCAGCTGCCGCAGATCCTCGTTCTGATAACACATGTCCTAATAAAGCAGGATATAAATCAGTAAAACAGGATATAATCTCACGAGGCTGAGCCAGAGCATAAACGGCATGGAAAAAGTCACGTGTCATTTCGGTATTTCGAAAATGATTCAAGATTTTTCTCTAAAATTCTTGTATACCTGCACGCAGGAAATGAAAGGCGGGAAGCAGAGCGTGCTCTTGGTCAGGAAGGTGTTCATGTTGCACCGTAGCTCCTCTTTAATCCTCTGACTCTTCTCTGCACTGCTTTGCTCTTTCATTTCTCGGAGGATTCCGGAAAACAGGGAGCTGAACAGCTGTTTGGCTAAAATGGGATCTCTCTGGGAGAAAGGAAAATAAAAAGTCAAAAGGTCAAAACTTTTTACTCTTTTTCTGTCAAAGACATTTCCAACGTGGCCAGTGAGAGGGAGCAGGAAGAAAGCCTACCTGCGCCAAAGCTTGAAGGGGAGTGATGAGGTTGCTGAAGGGGATCTGAATATCGGGAAAGTCCCCCACTCTGTAGCTACGATACAGAGTCACCTGAGCTTCCCTCCGCAGCCTCTGGTCAGCTTTTTCTTCCTGCAGAGCAAACAAAAACCTACGTTAAAGTTCAGAGCAGCTAGTTTTGAATCACTACTTTGAAGTAACACAAAAATCCTATTTGATGTACATCTCAGTGATTTTTGGAATATTGATAGTGTGATATCTTTTGACTGCAAGTTAGTACCAGTGGGATTCTTTCTGACAAAGCAGGGAATGTGTTAAACTTTGAAAATTATTTTACCTAGTGTGAATTCATTATTGTGAAGTTATAGCAAAATCCTGTTCTGTGCATGTCTAAGCGAACGCTGCTTATTTCTGGGTTTATACTGGATGATTGGCTGGAGTTTTAGCCTTCTGATTACCTTTTTCTGCCTCTGTTGTTGGATTTCCTTGGTTGCGAAACCCAAGCTGACTTTCTCCTGATCCTTGAGGAATCTCCTCCTCAACCTCAGGATGTTACTGCGCCGCTCATTCTCAGCTGTGCACAAAAAAAAGTGTCTTTCTCAAGCTATACCCATATAGGCTGAACTCTCATTTCCGCAGCAGGTCACAACGGTTTATTTTTCATCATTCGGGAGAGATGGGATGCTGTTTTTCGGCCTCTTTGGTACTGACCTCTCGTGCGACTGTCCACCTCGTCCGTTGAGGCGGTCAGGCGCCTCAGGCCGAAGCCTTCTCCCACCGGTCTCCTCGCAGACGTCGGCCTCTCGGCCTTCTTGTCAAACACCAACAGAGAAGACAGGGACTCGGAGCCGAGCGAGTACTCCGCTAGCGTGTCCACGCTGCTGCCCGTCAGCCAGTTATAGGCGGTGCGCCGGCCTAAAAGGGGAAAGCCACCCCCACAAAGAACATCATTTTTAACCGGTGCATTTGTGATCCACGCTGTGTAACCATATTTTCCGACGGGGGGGCTACCGGGCGCTTGGGTTTGAGAGAACTCCAGCGACGTTTGAGTGGCTCGAAGCTTCCCCTTCATGGCTACAGACCCAGAGGCTGCCAAGCTCTCTGGGGCCTGAGAGCTCTGGGTCTCCACAAACATAGGAGTCATCACGGTGCTTCGAAGGCGCCAGTTGGAGTCAATCACGTAGTCCTGCGGGGAGAAGGGGGAACGTAACACATTAGGCTCAGCGGTAAGCTCCAGATAACTTTTTTTCTTTGGCTCGACGTCGGAAAAGCGCGCGCCGACCTGGAAGGTGCACTCCGAGAGAGGAAACTCAAACATGTTTCTTTTGAAGTCCGGGCTCTGGCTGGTCATTTCCAGCATCAGGTTGGTGGCCAGGCTTAGATAACACCTCTCTATTTGGCAGGAGTAGAGCGAGCGCAGCACCGTCAGCATTCGCTCCAGCGTGGCGGTGGGGAGGCGCCGCTCCTGGCTCCAGAAGTTACGGACATACAGCCTGAAAACAGGAGCAGCAAAGGGACGGGGTCTAAGACCAGAGCACTTTGTGAAGAAAAGACCCTCTGCTCGGAGCGTTTTACAGGCGCCGCTTACTGAAGGCCCTGGTTTTCGTCCGACAAGCCCTGGAGCAGAGTTTCTTTAGCCGCGTTCAGGAGCTCGAGTGAGGTGCTGTCGCTCATGCTTTCATCATCACTGGAGGGGGGGAACAAAAACAAAAAACACACAATAAATTTAATAAAAAAGAAATGACAGGGCTCTGATCAGATGTTTTCAGAGTGTGTCTACCCATGTAGACACACTTCAAGTGCTCGTACAGATGCCCCCAAAGAGGCACACGTTTAAGAAGCTAAGGAACAAAGGTGTAAATATTAGGCGTGGTTAAAGGCTGGGATATTTGCAGTTTACTCAGAAATCTGTGTACCACTGACCACTACTACCACTTTTCATGCTTTTAATTTCTAAGCCAAGAAAACTAATAAAGTCTAGCCTAAAAACAAACATACGGTTCTAAATCAATCAACATTGTGGTCGTTTACGGAGTAAATTTTTTAAGGGTACTCGCAATCTATTTCCCCCTTAAGCACCTTTACTAAAAACCAATCTAGCTGGTCAGAATAACCAAGAATGGCAACAGACTTAAACATCCATAAAATGCCCATAAACTTAATTTGAACACATTAAAAACAAACATTGCTTTTAAGGTTGATTTGACTAGCTTTGTTGCAAACATTTATGGGCTGTCATGAAAAAAAAAGTGAAATCACAGCTTTTGACAAAAATCTAATTTTCTGATTGTGGATTCAAGTCATCTCTGTGAATCAAGCTATTCATTTGTATATACATAAATATATAAATAAGACTTGGCTATGACAATCAAATTTATTTGGCTACAGCTCAGTGGCTTAATGTATTGGGATTTGGCCTATGTGGATAAAATTAGATTACACTGAAATTCAAATAGTCTATGATGTGTAAATTGACATAACCAATAAGATAAAATGAGAAACAAAAGCCTGGATATGTGACCTGTAGTTGTCCTGAATCCACATGAGGATGTCGTACATCCTCTCCCTGCAGACAGGTGAGGGCTGGGACACGAAGGCCGTCACAGCTCCCAGCAGCTCCTGAAGCTCCACCGGGGTGAGGCGGGCCAGAATCTTGTGGATTATATCCAGACATACTCTCTGTCTGGCCTCATCCCTGAAAGGAGCACCATGCAGAGAGGGAAACAATAAAGCTAGTTTTATTTTCAACAGAAGTTCCCGACACAATGACAAACGGATCCGGCATGGATCAAAAAGTGGAAGCTCATCCCCAAATGAAAAACAACCTCTGATCCGTGGACAGAAACCCCTTAAAGAATGCGGTTCAACTAAATGATGGAAACCAAACTACTACTACTACAGCATATTGCCCTTGGCTTAAACTTTGTAACTTTAAAAAGTGGACAGATTTGGTGAAATATTTTTTTTTAAAGAGTGACTTAAGAAATTGAGGAATTGAAACAACAGGGTTTAACAAAACATGATTTTTACAGATTTCTACAGACACCACTTAAAACAGGACTTGAGGAAGGCTTGGCCAACTGTTCTGCTTTTTTTTTACAATTATTTATCGATTTTTAAAAAATGTCATATAAATCAACTCCAGCGTTTAGATACAGCTCTAAACTACATACTAGAATATAGGACTTGAAGGGAGAAAATAATTCATATATAAAGGGGAAATTAGAAAGGAAGGGACAATCCTCAATGCATTTGGTAGTGTGTGAAAACAAATAAGAAAAAGACACTGGGAAAGAACTCTGACGGAGAGACTTTGGGTGGAAGAATTTGATGAGATGTATTAAAAACAGGTGTCTAAAACAATCTCCCATTGAAAGAGTTAAAATGCTGGAGATCCAGAGGCCCGGTAAGCCAGCGTTATTGGCTTGGACAATAACGGTACAATAACAGTACCGGATGCACTGCATATGCTTGGGATTGAGGCCACAGACAGTGTTTCCCAACAGCTAATAGGAAAGCACTAAAAGGACATGCATGATAATGGACTTTGCTACGTATGAAGACTGGGATCTTTAGATAACTGATGACAACCATTTAAAAAAACAAAAACCTTGTTTTGGTTTCTGTTGGTTTTTTAAAAATCTACCGTTTCTTACTTTAGTTTTTCCGAATTTATTTATCATTTAAATTAATTTATTTATTTCCTCATTTATTTTGTACATATTTTGTGCTACTGAACATTGAGAAAAACGTGTGTCCCTAAACAGCCGGCTGTAGTTCATTAATGTGAAGCTTTAAATGTTCGGAATTATAAAAAATAAAAAAAGAACAACAAAAACGAGGGTGGTGTGGTTGAGTCTCACCTGTGTCTCATCATCTGAACGAAGCCTGAGTTCTTCAGCTGCAGAAAGATGTCGGGAATAACATCCGCCCGGGTCAGCACACATTCCAAACAGTGAGTCTTTAAGATACCGTGCAGCTTCGGAAGGAGGAAGAACACGAGGTTGACAAAACTGGAAATTGGAAATGGAAAAAAAAAAGAAAGAAGTTAGCTTAGTGTTTGGTTAGCTTAGCACAGCGCTGACCAGGGTTGATTGGAATTGATGCATTCACAACTCAAACGTACCGATCCATAAAGGGAGGAAAGTGCTTGGACACTTTATTCAAGCAAATGATGAACTTGTCGTCCAGATCTTTTTTCTTCAAGTTTGATATTTGTGTTGCAGCCAAGCTGAGAAGATCCTGATGATGCTGAGACAAAAGGATAACAACATTCTAACTCTATTAACTTAATTATAGGTGAAATAAAATAAAAATAAAAAACAGAAAGAAGAAAAAGAGGGGAAAATTCATACACTGCCAGTTTCTGTCATGCTCTTCAGAACGAGGCCGACAATTTCAGCAGCGGCTGAGTAAACCTCTTTATACCTCACGAATGACATGTTGCAGGTGAGGGACTGGATGTACCTGAGGACACACACAGCACAGGCTTAGCAAAAAAGCATTAAGTAGAAAAAACCCCATCAAGATTAAAAATCTATTTTACAACACAGTTAGGGCTAAGATAGCAGAACGACAGCTATTTAGACACACAACATGGGATTTAAAGCAGACTTAAAATCCTTCAAGGTTAGATTCTATAGTCCACCTTTCGTATTCAATGCCACAGGAAGGATTGTAAGCAGGGAGGTTGTTGGCGAGGATGATTCCCAGCAGCTGGAGTCCGACAGAGTTGTCTTTGCTGTTCGGGTCGGTGCCACAAAACCGGTCGTATATCAGACTAAGCGGGGAAAGAAAAGATCCACAATCAAGAACAAGCTCAGTTCAGTTTTTGGACAAAATTTGTGGGGGAAAAATATCCAAATGTCAGCTTAAATTTGGATTTCTATTCCAATTCAATGTTTTGTTTATACTTTCTCTTTTTGTAAAACAAATGTAACAAAAAAACAGCCACCTTTATCATACTTTTTTAAATGCTGCTACTACATGTGTAAAATACATGCTGCCTTGGTCAATTGATTTAAGTCAAATCAGCATTATTCATGTTGTATAAAAGCTAAAAAAGATGAGCACTGAATGAATGTAAATATGACAGGAGCCCAAAAAAAACCTAGAAACTATATGGGGTTCGGACAGTTGAATAACTAAAAGAACCAATGCAGAGTTCCTGGAAATAATAGCTAATCAGACTTACTGAGAATGTTCCGTTCTTGAAATTGTCTACATATTTTATGAAAACCATATTTTTACTTTTCCTAACATGCACATCATTTGTAAGATGGAGATTATTTAACCTCTTCACCCTGTTTTCCAACCATTTAGTGCCATAATCTACACTTCAGACGGGTTCTTGTGATGAAGACGGCAGCTGTACCAGCAGCTTTACTGCTCGTATATCTTAATGAATCTAACAAAGAAAACGCAAGCTTTGATTCAGCCGATTATCCCCGTGGAAGTTGACCGCTCTCTTGCTTTCTCTGGCCTGTCACCCAAACAGCTCCTTTGCTTTGAGTTTGAGTCACATTGACGGCGGGGCTCGGGGACAGTGTTTTAGCCCTACCTGTAAGGCACGTGCAGACAGTCTTTCCAGCACTCCACCAGAGTGCGAATGATCTCCAGGTTGTGCCGGAAAACGGCCCGTTTGGAGTGAAAGCTGTGCTTCATCAGGAACTCCAACAGCCGGTTGGCGAGGACTTCATCTCTGGGGTTATCCTGAGAGGAGGCAAAATGTCGGAGAGAGATTGCACAGTGACTATAGGAGAGGCTTAAGCTGGGTCTTAATACCCACAAAGTCCTACAAGAATACAGTTACAGGTCAATTGTCTGATGAATGACCTTCTGTTGACCGAGTCCTGTCAATGTGACTTTGACTAGTACCACCCCACCTCTCTACACATCTGAAGTGAACAACCTTCCCACCTGACAGCGGTTAATAAAAGAGATACTCAAAGAGTCCATGGCCCACCACTGAATCCAACGAAGCGGCCACAAAGTGTCAACACCAACCTTGGGCGTGGCCAAGCTTGTCCAAGACAGCACAGTCACCACGATATCCACCACCATGAAATGGATTCCCACCCCGCCGTTGTTTCCTGAAACGACCAGCTGCAGGAGCGGCCCCAGCCAGTGTTTGGCATATGGCCGGAAAACCTAAACGAAACAAAACAAGAAAGCTCGAAGACTACATCCACAAATGAAAAAAGGTTGTAGGAATGCGTTGGATTGGCCGATGCGTCTACCTCCTCTGTGTTGATGATCAGCTTGGAGATGAAGAGTCGGATGTTAAGGGGGGTTGTGGAATTTGACAGCTTTCCGTGTAGAAACTTCATCCAAGGAGGAAGCTCACTGGGCACGTTTCCCTGTGGGACACAAAGTCATTGGTCCTTGCAGCCATCACCCTGTAATCTGCGCGATGTCATGCGATTTGATTTCGAAACAGCGCAATTCCCTTTTTTTTTTAGTAAAACCCAATCAGGAGGAAGGAGAACCTTTTCAACTTTGGGGGTTATGTTGTTCCTTTGCATGTGTCCGATCAGAGCGGCCATGGCGGCCATGCATTCATGCTGGTTTAACTCATCCATCTCTAGATCCACCATTGCCTCCTGGGAAGGATTTGCCTCCTCTATCTCCTAAACGTTCAAGAAAAAGACCAAATCATTAACTTAAAACCATTCTGAGACGTACTTAAACTGATAACAATGAGCCTCTGCAGTAGCATTTAGAGCCACCTTTTTTGCCACTGTCCGTTTTTGTCCCGCTGGGTTCTGGGAGCTCAAGGAGAAGCTTTGGACTCCTGTAGAGAAGTCAAACTGGCTCATCTCCTCACTCAGGCTGCTGTCAGCCATGTAGGACTGGGAGGACAGGTACACCGGCGCTTCTATGGCAACCACAGTATAAAGAGAGACATTTGAAAGGCTGATATGTGTCATCACCCATCAGTGTCACAGCCTTGATGTCCCCTGCATTTACAAAGATGGCGTCGTTCGAATTGGAGCTAATAACGAGCCGTTACCTCCGTTCTCCTCGCTGACTTCTTTTCGAATCATGATGTATTTTTTCTTTCTTTCAAGTGCAACCTGCAATGATATAGAAGAAAGGTTACATAAGCCATGTGGGATGGTGAAGCAAACAAACAAACATCCAACAAAAGTAAATTCAACAACATACCTCAACCTCAACTGGAAAGCTGTAGGTCCTTTCTAAATCAATGAGGTTTTCAAGAATGAACTGATTCTGGGTGGAAGAAGGAAAGTCAGGAAATTAAAGTAAAGCCTTGCAAGCGAATACAGGCTCCATTTCTATTTAACTATATTTAATTTTAAAACAAACATTGACATAAAGTCAATGGCATAGATTTTATAGCATGTACAAATGAAAATCCTCCTTTAAAATAATGATGTCGGCATCATAGTTAGCCAGTCAGTAAAATGCTATAGAAAGGTTCTGGTCTTTCTGAAAACTTGAATAAACAAAGAGTATACCATTAAAAGCATAAGATGTCCATAGCTAATATGGCAATTTGAAGGTAGTGCTAAGGATTATTATTTTATTTTTTTTGGAGGAGGGAGGGTTGTTCGCTGCAGGACGTAGTATCATAAAGAGAAAATAAATCTTTGCGTGAATCTAACCTGTTTTTAGACCAGTTGTAAAGGGAAATCATGAGCTTTGTCCTCCACATTAAAGGCCAAAGAAACATCCGGTGTTCAGATCAGCTTCACGCATTTACTTACATTTTATTTAATAAATTAAATTAAAAGAACAACAGCCTCTTCCTTTCAAATTAAACATTGTTACAATCTTTGTTAAGGACTTGGGAGTCAATAGGATTATTTTAGGGCGGCTTAATCAAACTATGTTCTGTCCATTGATGCCTGGTAGGCAACAGATTTGAGTTTTACATCAAAGTGCTGGTGGCCAAATCCTTACCGAGCAGATCGGTGGTCCTTTTTAGATTTTGTATTATATGGGAAACTTTAAAAAAGTGATCTCTGCTAGATCTAGAATAAAGCAAATTATTGATTCAGGTGCTGCCTCTGTTCACAAATAAAATCCCAGCTCCTATTAAGCTGCGTCAACCATAAAGATTCTGTCAGGAAAAAAATACAATCTGATCTTCTCTCTTCTCTTCATCTTTTTGGAAATAGACATTGCAAACTTTCTGCATACTTTAAGAAATCGGTAATTAAAAATATATTGCAACCATTGTTATATAATAAAAATATTCTACTGTGATTTTTCTATTTGAAGGCAAAACAAAATCATATTTCTACTGAATCCATTCAAATAGGAGTAAAGTTTCTTATTATGTTGACCTTCAACAGGCTGTCTGATGGTGTCGTATTAAGCTCGGTTGCCTTATGCTAAAAGGGTTCTTGGTAGCATCTCGGGTTCATGTTTTCCCTGTCCAGTGTGACACTCTCCTCCTTTCCAAAGCATCGTGTTTTGTGGTGATTCTAAATCGCCCCAAACAGTGCCTGTGGAGTAGATGTGTATGTGGCTGCTCTACTTCAAATATTTAACATGTATGCCGCACATTAGAGCAACATCTAGTAGTTCCCCATACACCAGGTTGATCTGATGGGTTTAAAAAAAAAAAAACACAAATGTTTTTTGACTGAAGAGAAATGCAGAGGAACATCTCTTTTTAACATGTTACAAGGCTTTGCCACTAGCTGATTACAACAACATGATTTAACACGTCCCTGGTCTTTCAGTTGTGCTACTGGAACTGTATGCAGGACCAGTGAGCATTCTCCTGTCCTCATTAACTCTAAAGCAGTTTAAAGGTTAAAAATTAAACTCAACATCAAATCTGTTGTGTTTGAACTCCTTTCATAGGTAGTGTGAGTCAAAATCAGCAAAGGAGAGTTTGTTTCCTCACAGAATATGTTCATCTGTGGACAGAAACTACTTTTTATATGTACTGTTTGGTTTCATCTTAGAGAGCAAATGTACTTTAAAAATGATAATTTTTTATGACGCATAATCTCCATGGGTTCTGGAGTAATCCTTTTTCAAAGCACCATTCACCTTTTCATGTCCATCTCACTCAGGATCACTGGCACAGATCGGGAGGGGGGGTTTGTGTACTGAGCCGTACCTTCTCTGGCTTCTCGCTGAACAGGAAGCCGTGGTAGAATTTAGGCTCGCTGAAGCTGCAGCTGATGACGGCGATGGCGCAGTTGTACGCGGCGCAGTGGTAGTGCCTCCGGAGCGCCAGCAGCTGAGTCTCGCCGGCCATGTTCTCAGTGAAAGCCTCAAAACACGACCTGTGCGCCACAGAGACAACCCAATCATGACACGCGGAGAAAAGCTGTGCCGGGATAACAATAAAACATTTGAAAAGATTCTAGGAAAAAAAATGTTTTAAAAGATGGAGACACACTTGATGAGGGTCTTGGACAGCTCGTTTCCCTCCGTTCTGTCCGAGCGGCAGTAGGCCCGGTTGATGGGGGACTCCTTGGAGTAAACCTCCTCTTTGGGGAGCCGTGAGTACAGCAGCTCCATCAGCTTGAAGCAGCCAATCTTCTTCAGCAGCTGGACCTCAAATGCGGATTCACTCGACTGGAATTAATGACAGGGACAAAAAAGAAAATCTGATTACAACTACATAAATGACAAGATAGACAGGTCATAGTGTGGTCAGTGATTTGAAAGCAATTCAGTGAATAGAATTCAGCTAAGAGGCGAACCTTAGTGAAGCGGCTGAGCAGGAAAGCGATCATATCAAAGATGTTTCCTACAAAGAAGTCACTCAGGGCCTTGGTGCTGCAGTGGGAGGCCAGAGGCAGCAGAACCCTCTCCGTCATGGCCTGCAGCATGGAGCTCACCGGCAGGTCTCCCTGCTGGACCACCTCGTGCACGGTGCACAGCAGCTGCAGCTGCCGCTCCGTCTTTGACCTAATTCGGCACAGACAAACTAAAAAAATTGAAGGAATTCTCCTGGGTTCCCATTTCGAAGAGCGCCGCGAATTCGGGAGCTTCACCCACCGCCTCGCAATTCTTTGGAAACACGTTTGGAACTGCTCCTCCATGATGTGCTTCGCGTCCCGACACAGGACCCCTGCCAGCAGTCGGAGCAGGAGCGGGCTGTGGGACAGCTCCAGGGCGTCCAGAAGCTAGAGGAGCAGAATGTCGGGGTCTCAGTTGGCTGAGGCGGTCCGCCTCTCAAACTCAAAAAGTTTGCCCCGTGTCTTTTGCTAGGGGCAGGTCTTTACCTTCCGGAGGCAGTCCATGTAGTTGTTGCGTTGAAGGGAGCCCTTAGCGAACTCGTCGGACTGCATGGGGAAGTGGGAGGCCACCAGGGCATCCAGGGCTCTCTGCAGGTCTGTGAGCGGCTCCTCAGGGAGAGTTGTAAAGAAAGGCAACACCAGCAGGGCCTGACTCTGAAGACGTGAGAAAAATCCCAAATTTATAAATCGACTATTTGATTTAGTTGTTTTTTTTCCATGTTCAACCTATTTCTGTGCTACGAACAATATGCCCAAAATAGTTCTTAAAGATGACATTTGCAATTTCTCTATTTGAAAAAACAAACAAACAAACAAACAAAAACACTAAATTTAATTAATTTACTAAGAGATCTAAGAGTTTGTCAAAAAATTAAAGGAGATTTAAACCATCACCACCAATTTAACAGAAAAAACTAAACAAACATAAAGATTGTATTCAGATATATTGTCCTACAGGCTTCCATAACATTACAAAGTTAGTTTTATTTTTTTACAAGTCATTTAGTTCCATAGTTTTTCCCTTAACTTTATTGATTCAGTTAATAGTTTCATTACCTTGAGATTCAGAGGTAGATTCATGTCAACAAGCAGTCTTGTGAAAGTGGAAAAAACAGGCCTGAATGCCTCGTGGTTGATGTCTGAGCACACTGAAGAATCAATCTGATGAGACAACAGAGGATGTCAGAGCGCTTTTACTGAATGGCTAAACATTAAACATTTACGACGACGATAACGTAGCTTCGACCAGCGGCAAAAACTTTTGGCAGCTTGTCCTGGAAATACCGAACCTGCAGGAGCTTGGAGAGCAGAAGAAGAGTGGCCGTTTTGCTCTCTGGAGTGGACGACTCTCCGTCCCACCATGACTGCAGACTATTCCACCTCTTCAGCACTTCCTGAACCAGCTGCTCCCCCTGGGTCTTCCTCACAGAGCGCTCTCTAAAGCTGTGGTCCAGCATGCCGTTCAGCAGGATGCTCACCTGTGGGAGAAACCCACTCACAGTGAGGAAGAGTCTTACGTGTGTGACCACGAACTATTCAGCTAAATAACGTTGTGAGCTACCATGCTGGGGTTTTGAGAGGAGGCCTGCATGAGGCGTGGCACGGTGCCCTCCAGACTTCTCAGCAGCTCGGTGTTGATTGTTGACTGGAAGAGGCTGTAGAAGTACTCGCCATGTGAGAAGCTCAGGAAGTTGTGGCTGTGGCCCCCGGATATTGGGACCGAAAGCATGATTGTGTTCAACAGCAAATCCACCAAATGTTCACTCTGAAGAGACAGAAAAAAAAAATCCCATCCAAAAGGAACATAATGTAGTAAAACATGTGGTTCACTCACAGATAAAACCTTTAAAAAAAAAAAAAAACAAACAAAAAAACATGCAATATATTCAAATTAATTCAAAGTCTCATCTTTTCCTAATGAACTCTCTGCTTTTGTATTTTAAATATCATATTTAAGTGGCACAATATACTATCCCGGCCTCTGATACTGATTATAGTTACAAAAGTTGCTCCCAATTGTGTTAAAAATGTGAGTAGGCACCTATAAAAAATCTCATATTATGAGTGAAAAACCATATTTGTATTTTTAAAGGTCCTATAAGGGGCACATTTTATTTATAAACCCATATGATGTGACAATTATGAAAAATCAGAATCAGAAATAGTCTAATAATCCCGGAGGGAAACTATTTAGATTTATTTAAATTATTTAAAAACACTGTAATCAGTTTAACTGTTTTCATTTTGCAAACATTTGTCAGTTATATTAGGTGTATTAATCCACTTGTCATCATCATGGGGATCCTCCATTCTGGGAGATCTATTACTTTCTGTATGAAAGGTGCTTTTATAAATAAATAAGTTAAACTGAATTATAATGATGTACCTCTTATGTTGTGTTCAATGACCCCAATGATTTGCCCTTATCCTGATTAGTTGTCAATACTTTTTCCTTCAGAATTGATAGCTACCTAATTAATTTGTTTAATTTTCTTTAGAGGGATGGATAAACTGGTTCTGGGGCCATGTGGCCGGAGTTTACCCTACAGCCGGGGGAAATTATGTGAGCAAAATTTGACATAAGTACACCAAATAATAAAAAGTCCACGATGCACCTGAGCTGAATCATTGGGAAAAACTAAAGAAAGCATACCTAATTATGGTTTCTAGACATTTTGGACATTTCAATGAGAAATTGAGGTGTTAAAAAACGGGTACAGCTAACCTGCTGGTTCAGTGAAAAAGAAAGCTGAATCAGGTCATCTGCTACTCTTCTGGTGTTTATGTCCAAGGATGGGAGTGCCTTCCTTTCTTCTCCCGGCGCTATGCCTTTATACACCGTCATTAAAAGTCGGTGCCCTATGGAGCTGGCATAAGCTGAATCCTAAAAAGGAGACACGTACAGCAGCGGTTCATTGCAGTGTTACCAAAATTCCATTTTTTTATTTTTCATATCTCAATAAATTGTTTGTTTTGACATGCTTATACCTGATTGTGCAGGATGGAGCTGAGAAAACCAGCTTTGTGAATCTGTTTACAGGAAGAGAGCACCATCTCCACTTGGTCGTGGCGGCTCAGAGCGTTGGAATCATATAGGTCTAAAGCACATAAATCTTCCACGCTGTAACGGCCATTAGAAGAACAATATGAATCAGCACAGGGGTTTAAATAAAAAATAAAAAAAAACTTTTCCTCTTTAACTGATCACAAATAAGGACAATGGAATACCTTTTACGAGAAAGTTTTGCCCGTAAGCTGCTTTCAATATGGCTGCCATATGGGGAGTCCAGCAGAGCCTTCAGTAGGGGAACACACACCTCTGGAAGGTTCTTCATCACTTCTACGTCAGCCATGTTGAAGCCAACCGCGGCTGGCTCGCAAACCACCGCCGCAGTCAGCTCAAAAAAGGCCGTGCAAAAGATCTCCTTTTCTAGAAGCTGTGAATCAAATAAATACATTATTTAAAGGTGAACCCTGCCAAAAGCAGCTACCGGGACCGAGTTGTTATTTTTTACTCAGTCCATGTGATTCAGGGATACCTTCCAAAAGTCCGGGTCTCCTTTGACGAGAATCATGGAGGCAAACTCCAGCAGGCGGACGATGATGGTGCACTTGCTGTAGTTGTACTGGTCTACTTCTCGTGGGCTGAAGTGAGAGGTCCGCTCGCCACCAGGGAAACAGCTTTCCGCTGCTGCTAGTTTATGGGCTGCCAGCTCAGTCAGGAAGAAATGTGTCGATTTCAGAAAGGTGAATTTGTCTTTGCAGCCTTTGGAATAAGAGAAAGAGGCATTGGTGCTTATTGTCATGGCTTAAATGTGGAGGAAAATCTCAGATCAGCCTTACTTACTAAGGATGTGCTGAGGCTTGATTATGTGCAAGCCTATGAAGGTGTTGTAGCAGTCCAGGACGGCCAGCAGTAGGTCCATCCACTGCAGGGTGGCCCGGACACTGAATGGGCCCGTCAGGTCCCTGAGAGTGGGCTGGGAAAGGAGGCCTCCGCCCTCAAACCGCGAGATCAAGAAATCACTGCCATGATCCCTCAGCATGCCGTCCAACCACTGAGGAGGGGACTTCTTGCCTGACACACGCACACAAAAACACACAAAACAGGCAGTGTTAAAAAAAATTAACTCAGTGAGAACTACAGCCATATCTCAAAAAAGAGAAAGGGTTTATTTTCTAATTCATCAGCCTTTTGTCCTGACCTGGGAGCAGGGGAATAAATTCGTACAGGAGCTCCATGCATTTGTGGCGACACTCCGTCTGAGGCCGGCCACACTGCTCCAGAAGCCACACGACCATGTCAGAAAGACTCAGCTTTTCATCCGGACCAAATCCCCTGAGACATCAAACAAACAAACAAACAAAAAAAAAACACAAAAAAAGAAAAAAAAGGTGCAGTAAATGTGAGCCTTATCGGCCCATTTCTGGATTTTATTTCATAGCAATGTTACCACACATTTGTAATACATAAAGGGACCTAAAATGCCTTAAAAAATAATTCTGAGAAGAAAATTTTTGACCATATTGTTCATATTGTAAAATAGGTATCATTTTACTAAGGTATAAGGTCATGTATTACCAACCTGGGGATGCGTCTTTTTGCATTGTGCTCATTGAGACTGGAGGCCTTCTGTTTGATGATTCTCTTCAGATGGTCAATGGCACTGCAACACTGCTGCACAGTTCCTGCATTTAAGATAAGAGAAGGAAAACCCTCATGAAACCTAACAAAGCCAATCAGTGTCAGTTCTGGAATCTGGTAATTTTAACAGAGGCCGTATTTAAATGTTAAAGCTTTGTGATGTGTCCGCTACAGCTTTTTTTCACATCAGAATCCATATTTTTTTATGAAAATGTGTTGATAATGCTGAGGAATTCTGAATGCGCTATCCATAAAGCATTCAAAATAAATAACTTACCCATAGATCGCTCATCAGAGTGTGCCAGAGCCAGACTGTCAACAAATATGACCAGAACTTCAAAGACAAACTGCTCCACGAGTGAGTTTTCCTCCCTTAAAAGATAAATACGAGAGAATGGCTTGGCGTAATAAACCATTCCGAAACTGTTTCTGATTTGCTGTAAGAAAAAAAGAAAATGACGCTAAACTGAGCAAAGGAGACAGGAAAGCATCATACCTGAACTGTCTGTAGATGCTGTTGAAAGCTAAGGCGGCGCCGAGTCTTTTGAAGCCGTTGGGATGGAGAGCCAGGCTGTAGATCCGCTTAAACAGGGACTTCATGTTGGTGGGGCTCTTCTCCTGCTGCTTGGGGGTGGTTTGTTTGATGGACCATTTGACAAACTCTTGGATGCAGCGGCCGCAGAAGTCTCGGAGCGTGCTGTCCTTTGGGTCAACCACGCCGTCCTGAGGACAGGGAGAACCAAGCCTTTAACCCGAGCTGCTTCTCAGATCAATGCTTTGAGCGGGTGTCCCATGTTTGAGTCTGGTTTTCTCTCTCACTGTATCTTTCCTGTTAAGCCACTAGAGCCAGAAAAAGTAAAGCCTTAAACTGAACTGATACACTTCTACAGAAATGTGAACACCTACCAGGATGGCCTCGAGAACAGCGACTGTATCTTGACTCTCAAACTTCTTGTTGTTTGTGAACCAGTGAATAAGCTGCATGACCAGAGGCTCAAAAAGCTGCCTGGTAACCTGGAAAAGAAATTCTAATCAAGAGGTGGAACTCATATCCAGATTTGGATAATAAAATGCATCATGACACTGGTGCAATGAGAGGGAAAGTTGCCTTTTTATTAATTTTCTAATCAGACTTTTTATTTTGTGTGTGTTTCTGTTTGAAGTATATAAATATGACGTAATGAAAATAAAGTTTTTTTCAGTATTTTGTTTGCCTGATTTACTTGGTACAAAAACATACAATGTAAATGCCAGATCAGATTTATCTCACCTGATCCACGTCGCAGGCCAGACGTAGCAACACAGGAAACAGTTTTTTGTGCAGCTTGTACATGGGTGGCAATTTATTTTCCCCTTCCACCATCTGAGCGCCTTTCCCCACCATGTAGACCACCAGGCTGTGGAGCAGCTCGCAGGCCGCCACCTGCATCGGAAACATCACAAATCAGCCATTTCAGTCAACTCGCCAGACGCCACTGAGGAGAAACGTTCTTGGAGCAGATGCGGGACGTACTTTGGTTTGCCGGTCGCTGGTGGACAGAGCCAGTTCGCTGATGCGCGGCAGGAAGGGGTCCAGGTAGATGACCGGCTTCATGTCCGTGAAGGGCACAGCGAAGCTGAGTCTTTTCTCAGGATCCCAGGCCACAAATTTCTTCATCATTTCTTCTGATGAGACCTCTGCATAAGAAAATAAAGGGTTTGTGAACATTTCAACTCTTGATCTGTCTCAATATTATATATATATATATATATATATATATATATATATATATATGTGGAAAGGTAAGGCTTGTTTTTACAAATCCTCACCAGACACAAGGTTTCTGTTCAGCTTTCCGCCCAGCCGACCAAGTAGCTTTACCACCCTGAGCCTCACCATGTCCAGGGGAGCATCCTCCTGCACAAAGCAAAAGGGACACCATCTTAAATACAATAAATCATATTTACCTGAAGCCGGAACATTAGACTTATGGGTAGAAAAGGTGCTTTTTTCTCCTCCATTACCATAGAAAGTTGGTTGCTCTTCTTCAGGAGCCTTGTCATTACTCTGCTGTATCCTCTGTCACTTCTTGAAGACAGAGAAGAGATCACCTCCCAATTGCTCTCGTCTTTTTCTAAACAGATGAATAAAAAAAGTTCAGATTCACATTGAATACAAATCACTGCCTCAGCGTGATTTGAAACAGTTTCAGATTTAGCAAAGCTAACCGTTAGTGGAGGTGGTTTTCAGGTATCCATCAAGAAGAGGGAGGATGCTTGAATAGCAGGGCTGCATGGTCTCCAGCGGAATGTGGGAGGACCAGTCCTCCAGAGCATCTAGGGCAGCGTTAGCCAGAGGAACATGGCTCAGACCCAACCTCAGAGCCGTCTGGATCCATTAAGGAACACAAAAACATACAGGAGCCCCTTATAAAGTCTGCTCGCTTTGTTCCTGCTCATGCAAATCAGTTCAAACAAACTCAAATCCATCTTTAGATCCATGACATTCTGATGTACAAGTGAAGTATATAGGACAAGGTTTACTCAAAAGGCTTGCAATTTTGTTTGTATTATTTATATATAAATAACTGAAGCTGAGTCTGTGAATCATTTGCAAATACATTTGGGTTGCAGCTATTTGTGGGTGATGGGTGAAATTTGGGCAACTAGCCACTTTCAAGGCTAGAACTGTATTAGCTACAATGATTAGCCATTCCTTTTGGCTAACAGCTTTAACCACTTCATTAACAATTTTTGTAGTTGGCCGTGTCAACACTTGACTAATTATTCTTTTTAATGACCTGACCATTCATTTATATTATCTAACTTCCATTTTTCGAGCTACATAACTGAATGAGTATATTGTTGCATTCTAGCTAACCTTTGCTATAGAATTAATTAACTACTGAGTTCCATGTCACAAATAGCTCCTCCACAACCAGGATAACCAAACAAAGTCTCTATTGGGGACTAGCAGCAGTTACAGCATTTTTCTAAATGAATACATAATAAAAAATAAAGAAAGCATAGCATACTAAGGAGAAGGACAATAATCCCACCTCTAGTGCAGGGCAGTAGGCCTTAATGTCCAGAGCCACAATGTTGGGGTGTAGCGAGAGGACAAAAGTCAGGCAGGATGCCAGCAGCTCGTCTTTGTACTGCTTCATTCTGACACACACCTGGTGGGAAATGCATATTCTAACACCCACTGAGTATCAAATGCTTTAATAAATATCATGCAACATTATAGGGGGTTACCTCTTTCCCAAACTTAGAGAAGAGTGCAAAGCAAGTACTCTTCACCGTGTCCCCCTGAGGGGATGCAGAGCTTCTCAGGCCAACTCCCTGTTCCAAAGCAAATCTGTATTATTTGCTTGATATGTTATATGTGACAGGTGCATGCCGTTACATCATTACATTTCCTCTAAATTGTTCATCATCTCACATGCATAAACAAAAAATTTAATTTTTTCAGTATTCATTTTCATAACATAACCGATTATGCTATTACAAAAATTAGATACTGGAACACAAAACAAAAAAATGTAAGTTAATGGGACATATTGTTAGTTCTTTACTATGTTTTATAGAGTTTTCACATATCCATTAGATTTTTCAGGTAACCTGCCAATGAGTGCATCACTATGACTACAAAAAAAGAAATATTTACCTGATAGTACTTAATCCGCTTTGTGATTTTCATGATGACAGAGAGCAGTTTGTAAAAGCCGCTGACCAGTGGGTTTCGTATTGAGTGGAGGATAAGCTCATGGCTCAGGGAATACGTCCATGTATGGAAATATTCCACATGTTTTTTCAGCAGCAACTCACTGCAGAGACATAAACCATCATTCTCACTGTGACAGTTTCAAATGGGGTAAGTATTCACTTTTAGAAAGTAACAGGGAAAAAAAATAAAATTGAATTCTGATGACAAAAAGAAAAGAATTGAAAAAAGATGGGTAGATCTGACATACTTATGGGGCTGTTTCGTTAGTAGTAGTCATGGTGGAACCTTGTGGTTAGACCATACTGTTGTTCCGTGTGGTGGGCATTTACAATGTGGATGAGCTCAGAAAAATAAAGTAGTCACTTTCATGTCACTTCCTGTCTTGTGACCCTTAAGGCTATTACATACTCTGTGAGAAGTGAGAAATTTGTTCTCGCTCCCACGGCTGTCTCCATACCTGCAAAAGTCCACCAGGTTGATGAAAGCCGTGAAGTCTTTGACCTTATTGGGCAAAAGATGAGCGGTGGGGTCAGATGAGGGGAGGATGTGGGCTGTGTCATCTGGAGTCTGAAAAAAAACAACAAAGAGGGAAGTCCCACTGATTGTTTTAGAATTTTGGGAGCCCTTGTGTTAGAGACAGCTGAACAAAACATTTTTTAAATGGGTTATACAAACTTTGACATAAAAAAAGAGAAAAAAAGAGATTTAAAAGTGGAGGATCACCTCCTCCCCTGTTGTTATTTTCTGCACAGACAGGTCCAACTTTTCCACAACGCGGAGAATAGATTTCACCAACTCGTCGTAAAGAAGTCTACTCAGAGACCCGAGGGCGGCGTTCTGGCTTTCAAAAGCTCCGTCCAGGAATCCCGAATCCTGCAGATGAAGACAAAGATTTGGTGAAAAGTCTTCAGATGAAACAAACCACTGCTTTAAGCCAGTTTCTAGCATCAAAGGGACATTTTGAAGTAAAAAAAGTGCCGACTTCAAGATACCAAAATACTGAGAGAACAAAGCCATGTACACTAAGCAGAGACCCCCATTTAGTGGTTCCAAAGCAGGCCAGTAGGGGACTAATCGTCCTTTCAGAATGGAATTAATTCCTACTGATTAGCCAGAACCTTCCATGTAGGGTTTTCTGCACTGGTTCTTACAAACATCTACAAATGCAACTCGGAAACATCTTCATTGATACCCGAGGTCCTCGGGTGCTTCAGTACTTTTAACATCAGACATCCTCACTCAGCTAGAACCAGCCAGAGGTGATTAGTTCCTTGGCTTGTGTCAAAGTACCAGCTGTGTCTTTTTAGCTTACATTCTTGATGACTCTTTCAAAGGTAAACCTCTATGATGTCTTTTTGGTTTATAACCAGCTTTAGCAGAACCATCTGTGTTTTTAATACTAAACCCAGGACCATGACTGGCCCCTGTAAGGTCTCTGAAATTGTACATGGGGATTTGAACTGCTTCAAAAGGTCTCACAGGGTCCTCTAAAGATTTCTTGGGCACAGAAGAAAGGATGGAGGCACCAGCATTTGGTTGGAGGGGTATGGTAGGGTGTCAGACTAGATTAGGATCCCTCCAGGTGGGGTTTACGGGGCTAAACATTTATGGTTTGTTGAGAGTTTGCAACATCTTATTTGGAAAAATTGAATAGAAATACCCCTTTAGAGTTTCGGAAAAGGCTTGAATCATTTAGGTTTCAGGTGCTGCTAGATGCTCACCGCAGAGCAAACACGCAATCCTGTGAAAAAGGGAAGCTACATTTGGAAATCATGAATAAACTATGGCCGTACCCTCAACTGGTCGCAATCTAAAAGTCCCTTAAACAGAGGCAGGTAGTTGGAACTGGATGGAACTTTCCATTTTCCGGCCTGAATGTGAGACGGCTCGTTCCCGTTTTCCTAAGATGGAAAATAAATCAATAAGAAGGCAGTTTATGTCACAAAAAAAAGACACATTTGTGAAGAAAAAAAACCTCTGACCTCAGAAATGATGATGGGTTTTGAACAAACACGAATCAAACCCTGATGCACTGAAAAGGAATAAGACGTTATTGGAGCAGACATTATCTTATGAAAACAAAGCACAGAGCGATCGAAAAGCTATTTGCATCTAAGTTTAATTTGTAGTTTAGCAAGGAGCACATTGGCTTTCATATGGAACCTAATACAAAGTCATTCATTTCCCTGCTAGTGTGAGAAAAATGTTATTTAAAAAAAAAAAATCACTGCAATCTCCACTGAATCAGTTCTTTGCAGAACAGCCAGACAGTAACTTTCCTTTTAACCAGATAATAGAGGAACAGTGGTGAACTTTGAGGGGTTATCTTACCAACAGAGCTGATGAAACTCCACAGAACAGGTCCTTTGGAGGCCACAGCCACCAGCACCTTCAGGATGGACCTGCAACAGGCAGTCTGCATCCTCTCGCTGTACTGAGGAAAGCTGTCGATCTGCACCACAAGCAGGCGCTCCAGTAGTGGGGTGTACACTTCTGGAACCTGAAACAAGGTAGAGGGGCAGATGTTCATGGCCATAATGTAAAAAAATAAATAAATCTCTCTCTCTATATATATAAATTTTTCTTTTTAAAGAGTCTAATACTTCAGGGCTATCAGCTTCAGCTTGTCAGGAGTGTGTGCTAATCCTGGTACTGTTTTAATTCAAAGCAGCCTTAATTGATTAAGATCAATCATACACCAGCCCTTTTTCCTACCTTGTCCAGGTGGATCAGGACACTGGCTATAGAGTCCAGGAAGCTGGGCAGCTGGTAGAAGCTGTCATCCTCTCCGTCAGACTCCGTCAGGTACATCTGCTTACAGCGCTGTATCAGCTCTGTGTACATCAAGTCCACATCCTGGGGACAGACCTTCTTGCACGGCTGTAGAAAAATAAAACACAGGCTTTGCATGATGTATGAAGAAGATTGCACCTGAGCTAAAGAGGCCAACGTGAAAATAGTCTGACAGGGGACCCACTAAATAAAAAGCATTGGCATATGCAGTATTAAAGGCCTATTCCTTCTCCTCAAAGAATCGTAGAATACAATGACTCGGCTCGTTCACGTGGGAAAAATGAGTTATGCAAGAGAAGATTGGTCTTCTTCAAAAGCAATTAAGAGTCAAGAAAGCAGCAGACGTACGGCAGCAAAGAAGCCGTATCCCCGTATGGCGATGGACAGCTCTTTGTGAGTGGACTCCATGGTTTTAATGATGCCGCAGAACTTTTGCATGAAGAACTTCAGTTTCGTCTTGTGCTCCTCAATATCCTCAGCCACCAACATGGCAACCTGAACATTTTTCAGAAGAAGGAAATCAGAGTAATCGCGTTAAATCAGGTCATCCCTCATGGGGACCGGCTCTGAGGTCCGTACCTGCTTCAGAAAGGCCTCAAGCGCGTAGTAACTGGTCTTCTTCATCTCAGCGTTGATGTGACCGCAGAGCTTGCACATGGTCTCGAACAGGGCTCGGTAGTGGTCCATGAGGCAGGTGCTGAACTGGGACGCATGTCTGGCAAACAGTCTGAGTCCAGCTGTTCAAACGGCAGTCAGAGACACGTGATTCTGATGCGGGTGTGAGCAGAGTTTTGCTCTAAGTGGCCGAGCCTTACCAAAAGTGACAGCATAGCGGGTCATCTCCATCTGCAACGGACGGAACAAAACCGGAAAAAGTTGCAAACAGATTCCATTTGTGAGGATTTGTATAGATAAAAGCAACACAGCAGATGGCCTACACAGAGACGCTTTACCTGGGGGGTGATGGCCTTAAAGGCATACTGAAAAATCTCCTTAGAAGTTGACTGGTCTGCAAATCAGAAAAAACAACACTTGGTTTTGTCCTGAAATGAATGAATGAATGAAACTCAAACGTGAGGACAAACACAAGGCTGGTCACCTTCCTCCATCGTTTTGGTGAAGTTGACCATTAGGGCATTGATTCCCCTCAAACATCCAGCAACTACAAACAGTTTGGGTTCCTTTGTGGAAGAGGTCATCTTGAGAGGAAACAAATAACCGATTATACACATTTAGATATGAGCTTTTTAGGCTTTTCAACAATGATCAAAAATAGCCCTGGTCTGTAAATCGCACCTGCCCCTTCAGCTCTCCGAGATAGGCCTTATAAAGCTTGTCCGAGTTGTTGACCATCTCGCTGGGATGGACCTCGGCCAGAACTCCCAGTAGCTCATAGATTTTCCCGAGAACTGTCGCAGGAATGAGAAGAAATAATCAGAAAGTGGCGGGATCCATTTCAAAAGCCAGAATAAGAGATTTAATGTCCGACTTCAGCCCTGGGCTGAGGGCGTGCCCACCGGAGTCCGGCAGCTTGAACTTCTGAGCCAGCTCGCTGTAAAACCGGTCGAAGATCTCGCAGACCCTGAAGTCCGCCGCGACGCTGGAGGCTTTCGTGGTTTGGAGGACCTGAGGTGACAGCAGTTTCAAGTTATCCGGCAAACCCGTCTGCAAAGTCAGCCGAACAGCGGGCGAGTCCGCTGATGCTGGTCTCAAAGAACCGATATTCTTATCAGAAGAAACCAACCTTGATGAGTAGCTCCAGCACTGGAGCCCTGCATTTGGCGACCCTTTCCTTTGTGTACACCACCATGCACGTGCTCTGCAATAAAATTAAGCCAAAGAGCAAACAGGATTGTTGAATGTTGTTACATTAAAGCAAATATTTAGGGGAAATAAGGGTTAGTGTGCACAAAACCTTTAAAATCTGATTCTTTTCATGTCAGTTCCCACTGTGCCACACATCTTATAAACTGAAAACCTACCTTTATATCGGAGGCATAGGTCTTCTCCCATCCTTTGACTCGGGGGGAGAGTTTGTCCAAAAACTTCTCCAAAAATCCCAAGACGTCCACGCGAGTGTCCCGCAGCTGGGAAACAAGACCATGCCGTCAGCACATGAACTTCTCACCTGATAGCACGGTCGCTGGGTGAGATGAACGCAACGACTTACCTCATCCCTCCCCAGGGATTTTCTGAGGAAGACGAGAAGCCCGTAGTCTTTCGAAAACAACAAGGAGGTCTGCAGAGCTTCACAGATCCAGATGTAAAGGCACAAATATGTTCTAGCTAATGTCATCTGATTCACATGCAACAAGCCAGTAATAAAGTTCGGTATTAAAAGAGCACCCTCAGGAGGCAGAGTCTTTGAGAAATGTTTTCGATGGGAAATAGAGGGAATTTGGGAAAGTTTAATTTTGTCATATGGAATATTCAATTGTTAGATGAGGTGTAACGTGTTCTTATGAATTTTAAGATGTGTTACATCTGGTTTAACCTCAGGAAGAGCTCATCTGAAGTAACAAAGTGTACAACATGTCCTGCGGTTAGAACACCTGCAGAAAATTCTCTCAACTGATCCCAAAAAGGGCCCCAGGGGTTAAACACCCTGAGCTGAATTTGGCGGAAAAGCCTAACTTTAAACACGCTTATCAAACTGTATCGGTGTTATTGGCTTGCTTTCACAATGACGAACTACTAGTTACCATATAACAATCTGTCAAGCACGTTTTTTTCTGCAAGTTGCATCGAACTTGTCAACAAAAGAAGCGTGTCCAAGTTGAATTAGCGCGAATGTAAATGGAGTCCGGCGCGGCCGGTGGGACGGTTTTAAAAGTGTATTTTATGTTACTTTATCAAGTTCCAACCCCGTATTCTTACCAAGTTCATTCTCGGTGGAAGTTAGCATACACTCCTGGCCCAAATCACCAATAATATCGTGACATTTCAGAGCTGCACCTCTGGTGTCTTCGTCTGAAAGTGATTCGTGAAGTTTCAGAAGAAGCCCCTGAACCCCCGAGGCAGCGCCGGTCTGGGGAGACATGGCTCCAGCTCTGGACTAGGCTAATATCAACCCCACATTACTCCCCAAAAAGCACAATCACAGAATCGCTATACAGCCCGTGGCAGCAGGACAACGCTCTGTCAATATCCCAGCGTCATTCAGCCTCAAAACCCACACCAGGAAGCTACTAAACCGGATGTCACCTGCATAGAATTCACAATAAATAATTTCTATTTGGTTAATTCACACCGACCAAATGTTAAAAGTGTGGAACAAATCATATTTTAGATTACATGGCAAAACATATTGACCTCTTTGACAGGAAACTTCAAACTTTAGCAGTGTGCAAGTTTTTAAGTTAGTGGTAAAGGCAGCTAAATGATACAGCGCATCTGTCCGCGAGAGAAAACGAGAACAAGCTCCCGATTAATTACGGTTTTACATTGGAGGGGAAACCGGAAATGTATTTAATGGCCTTTTGAAACTTTGGGAAACTTGTATTGATGTCTTTACAACAAAAACAGCACAAACTAAATTTTAATATCACTTACTATTCCCGAAATACCGCATTGTGTCATTTAGCTAGCATTAAGCTTTTTTTTTTAAACAGGTTTAAAAAAGTATTGGTTTAACAAAACGTGCAGGTGTATGAAAAAGAACAATTCTTACTCCATCCATCCATCCATCCATCCATCCATCCATCCATCCATCCATCC